AAATTTGGCATATTATAGACTGGTAGTAGCACACAGAAATAGAGTTAAAAAATTAATAAATTATAAAGTAAAATTATTTACTTTTGTAGTTGAATACTTTTATCATATCAAATTTAATTCGACAATAAATAATTTAAGAATATTAAAAATTAATGATTTTAATTGTTTGTATGGACAAATCTAGTTAAGCTACTTTTTATTTGAATAAGGAATATTTTTTTGATTTTTAAGAGTAATAACTTAAACTAATCATTAACTTAAATATCATAAACTTAAATGAATCATTTGACGTATCGTTGAAAAAAGTAGGTCTAGTGAGGGTTGGCAAAATAAATCGTAGCCAGAAAAAGAACCACATAGTAAAATAATATTAACATGAATATCAATTTCTTCTCACGAGGGGAGACTATAGTGATAAGATCCTTTATATTTATTGAAATTATTGAATCTAAATGAGATAAATATCAAATGATTTGAAAATTCTATTCTAACTCAAAAAAAAAATGCAAAATTTTAGAAGCCACAAACGGATTTGAACCTCGTACCCTAGGCGTTAAAGATCAAGGTGTTACCCATTCGGCAACTATTCGTTGATTTTTGTTGCATGATAAAATTGGCTATTTAAGCTAACTCAAATTTAAAAATTACTTTTTCGACTTTAAAAAAGTAAAAAATGTTAATAAGTATAATATCATATGTCTTATGAACTTTATTCTATGTCAATGAAATTATATAATATTCATGAAAGTCAGTTTATTCCCCTAATAAAATATTTTAAAATAAAATAAAATACAAAACCTAGAATTTTAATAAAAAATAGCATATTTTTAAATACGGTAGCCTTTTGCGCATAGAAGATAGGTCGTCGGGACAAATTTTTTTTTTTCATTTTATAGTACATAAAATAAGCTTTAATTTGATATATGTTTAAAGGACGCAGTATTTCCGGAACATTTTCAAAAATTAAGTTGAAAAAGTTAGTTTTTGTAAAAAAGTTGCAATTTTAAATCCCCCCCCATGAGCAGGTTAAGTGTTAAATTTTCAAAAAAATTATATCAAATGAAAGGAAAATATCTAAGGTTTTAGTTTAAAAAAAAATTATGTTGATTTGTTGATTTTTGAAAAAGTTATGGAAGTTTTAAGAAAAAAAAGTGAAAAAAATGACAAAATTTGTCGATTTTTAAATTTGTAATTTTTTTGGATATTTCCCCCATTTGCGGGGAACGAGGGAAAATTTTTAAATTTTTAAGGGTAATGTCTTCAACTAGATACAATTTGTGATCTTTTGACGTATTGTTAAAAGAAATCGGTCCAGTGAGAGCTGAGAAAAAGTAGTGACAGACACAAAAAAAAAAAAATAAAAAAAAAATAAAAAAATAAACACATCATGGTAAAATTAATACCTTCTCAGCTTCGCATCGAAGCTAAAATCTGGCCACGAGGCGACAAACAGGTTTAATTCAAGCTTGCCATGCTTACAACTATGGACAAGTTTCAACAAGTATTTTGAAACAGCAAAGAAAATGTAATTTAAAAAAGAATATACTGAAAATGTTTTATGAAATTTATAAAACATTATATTTTATATTCTATAATATGCTCTTAAAATATTACGAGTATTCTTTTTTCAGCAGGCTTCTGTTTCAATTCGCTTTTTAATTTTACTTATAATAAAGCATCATAAGTTTTAAAAGCTTTGTTTATAAGAACTAAATTGAATTTAATGATTCAATGATTTTTAAAACGCTTTACTTTTCTTTGGTAAGATCCATTTTAGATGTGTTGTCCGGAGTTCAACTAAAATCACATTTATAGACAGAATTCAAACAATACAAAATAAATTTATAAATTTCACTAATTTTAGATGTAAGTTAAACTTGATTTTCCCTTTGCACAATAGAAAAATAATTGTAATGCAATATTCGTTTTCAAATTAACCATTAGGATCATAATTCACCGAAATTACTGAGTAAACTTAATTTTGCTGTATTGAACGATAATACTAAGGCTCATATGATAGTTTAAATTCCTATTATTATGTCTACTCATCGCCCCTACATAGAGGTATAAGACTTTTTAACAATTCAGTTAATTTTGATTTGTTTCCTGATAATATTTTTTAATTATTTTGTAATAATCTATGTTAATATTAAAATTAATTGTAAATTATGAATGTGTAATATAATAATTATAATATAAAATAATAAATTATTTATTATTTTATATTTATATGTACTGTAAACGCAATAGCGACGTTAAAATTTAAATAAATAAAACATAATTTAAATTTATTTATGGATAATACTTTTTTTTTAACAAAATATTAAGTATTTTTTCAAGTTAGATTCAGATAATTTGATCAGGCGAAATTAAAACTATAGTTTAATTTGAATAAATTTAACCAATTATCTATAAATATTAATAATAATTTATTATTGAACATCAATTGAAACATTAAGAAGCCATAGATGCACAAAAAATATTAAAAGAAATAAAAATATTGAGAAGCCACAGCAATAAAGAAAACAAGTTTAAACATTAAACGAATGATGCTAAATTTCAATTTAAGTTCATACTAATACTGCAATCAACTAAAATATAATACTGCATTCATTTTAACTTAAAGACGTTATTTTTATATTTAGTTAATATTTAGAAATTAATTTGAAAAACTATACTATTAAGATCAACTGATATCAAAATAACATGCATGCGGCATAATAGCACCATGAACGTTTTAGCAATTTTTTTAAATTAACAATATAAATCAACAAAAAAAATTGTTGATTACAATAAAATATCATCGTATTATTTAATGTGAATATTTTTCATTTACATGTCTTAAATTATATTTAATGCCATCCATTATTAAGCCATATATATGGCAGTTTGCAATGTAATTTCAGGTTAAATTGGGTTTGATAATTAATGTTATCATTTATATAATACTATTTAATTTTTATTTGGGTTTCATTAATTATGATAACATTCGCCAATTAATCATCAATTTGCTAAAAAAATGTAATTATTCATAATCAGATAATTATAATTATTTGCAATTTATTGATAACACCGAAAGTATTTAGTCGACATATTATTTATACTTATATACTTAGTTGTTAGACTTTATACTTTGTTTTGTGGCGTAATTTTAATTTTTACCAACGAGACATACATAAAATAAATTTTCACCATCCCTCCAAATAAAAACAAAACTGTATCCTCGCAATATTAATCTTAAGGCTCTATTCTTCTCGTCCACTCTTATTATATACCTGAACTGAACTAGAAAGTATAGATAATTATTAAAAGTGGATGGTAAAATAAAGCTCTATTTTTGTATACGATAACTAGTGCTGCGTCAATTAATGAAATTTCAGAAGAGAAATATTGTTTTGAAATTTAACAACTTTTATATATATATCGGTTTAAAAAATATGAAAATCAGCTAAGAAGAGTTGCTAATATATGTATTATATAATACTGAACAAACTGTATATGTACCATTGTATAATTGAATACCACATTTTTATTAATATCTATTTATAATTTTAATGAAAATATATTTTCTTTGGGAAATATTAAATAATAATCACCTAAACAATACCATAAGTTTATTAATTTTCCTCAGTTCTGTAGCTAAATTTTGTGATACTCAGAAAGGGTAGAGTCTACAATATAAAATATTATTAAATCAAAATAATTATTTATTTATCACATATGAACTCATCAATTTTATGATTTGTTTAAATTAAAAAGAGCTTATAAAATTGTGTTATTGTTTAAATTTTGTTCAGCTTATAGCAATGTATAAATTTAAATATAATAAAAAACTTATATTTTACATTTTTTAGCAAGTATCTTATACTTCAGAATTGCAGAAACAAAAATAATCATGGAAACTTCAGTGATAAAATTCTTTATAAGATTATATGACAGATTAATCAAACATATGTTTGTGTTTAGTGTTCTAATAGGTTTGTCAAACTAAAAACATACTATTCATAAAATATGTTTTTAAAAATAAATTAATAAATGCATTAAACATCATTAAACAAACATTTTAAATATTACATTATTAATAATTATATTTGCATTTGCAGTTTTATTTATGCAAAAAATACAACAGCAATCAAAATTTTAAACGCATTTAAAATTCATTTGAAAACAAATGAATAATACTTCTATTTCAAAATTTTATACGTACATATATATATTTAATAAACTAAGGCTCTATACAGTTCTGAAGTTTTCTAAATAAGCAAACTATGATGTAAAAATATATATTTAAATTAAATAAAAAAAAATTTTAACAGTTTTTAAAATGAACACAGACATATTACTATTTAAAAAATATAACTATTCAATTATTATTAAAATTAGAGAGCTTTTAAAATCTTTATACTTTAAAGCTTATAATTAAAAACTCCTATACTATTTAAAATGTTAGTATGAAATATATGCAAGTGACATTATTTCAACACATAGCACTAATATAATACATCTTTTATGAAAAAAAATTGATACTCTTTTTGAAATTAAAGCTTTTAAAAAATGAATGTACAACTTCTGATAAATTACTTTAATCTGTTAAAATTTTACACTAATTTATTCAAATTATAATAATTATAATTTGAATATAATTTATTGGGCTTTATTAAAACATTAAGTTCATATATGTGTTAATTTGAGTTTTATTTGAAGTGAAGTTAAAATCTCCATAATTTTTAAGTATTTTTAGTTTTTACTGCAAAATTTGAATGCAGTAATTTAAAAATTTTTGTATTGTAGATAAAAAAAATTCAAATTTTTATGTAATTTAAGTTATGATAACTTATTTTTATAAAATTAATAATAAAATATAAATAATATTTAAGAAATTAAAATAATAATTAAATTATAAATGTTGAAAGTTGTGTTAATCTTCAACAAAATGAGTTGTATAAATCATAGTACTAATAATAATTATTGAATGAAAAAAAACAGAAGAGAAAAATATATAAGGTTTCCAACAAGAAATATTATAATATAAAATTACATACTTAAATCATCGAATTTGAAAATATATAAAATATTCTTAAATTAAATAAAAATAAGGAACAATGTTGGCCTAACTTAAAGTTTACATAAAAAATAAATCTAGCAGTTCAAAATAATCAACAACAGTCAATGATTATGATTAATAAAGTTAAACTAAAATTAAACAAAAAATGTAAGTGCTTAAACACAAAATAATTAACCAACAGTATATAATCAATATTATTATTCAAAATATGAATAAGTTTAATAGAATAGTTGTAAAAAAGTTTATTCTAAACGTATAAATAAATTTTATTTTTAATTAAAAAAACTGTACAATAGCTAATAAAAATAAATTGTTTATAAAATTTGTAATATATTTGAGATTTTGTTTTAAATTGGATGTAATCAATAACATATTTTTCCTTAAATAAATAAGTCTCTTTCTTCAATATAAAATATTTTTTTTAAGCATATAATAGAATATAAATCAATTTATATGTATGGATGGTTTTGGCAAGAATTCTTATATGTTATAGAAAAACCGAATAAATATACAGTATATCATTAAGATAAGTCTTATACTAAAATTATTCATCATTAAATCAAATTTGCTATTATAGTTATTTCTTTAAATTGGATTGTAATTTTAATTTTTTTTTTTTTCCAAGCCATTTACATATTAACTAAAAATCCATCTTTGGTAACAGTTATCACTTGAAGTATAGTACTTAAAATCTTAAATAATATCTTTTTCCTAGTTATACAATTTTAAGTGTAAATTTATTATACAAATTACTGATACAAAGCACATATAATAAAAAAATTGCTCATAGATTACATCATTAAAACACATTATGTGTATAAATTATACAAACATGAAATCCACACTTAAAAATTGACACACTACAAAAGATTAAGAATTAATCAGTCAAAACTTATTAAATTATCAGGTAATTTTGTCTCAGTTTGATGTTTTGTTTGGGCTGCGTGATATAATCTTCTATACCATTGTAAGGCTGTATTATCACTTTCTGCTCGAAATTTATAGCTATTTCCTAAAAAAGATAAATAAATTTCACAATAATAAATAAAAAAATATTAAATGATATTGCTTCTCTAATAGCAACAACAAAAATGTGTTAATATTCGATTTTTATGCTTAGATATCATAATACACTGAATCATATTCTGATATATACAGAGTGATTTTTTTATCATAACCCACTCAATTACTTACAGAATAAATATAATTTAAACATTTCTTTTTTTTTGGTTATCATTAGTTAGATATTATTTTTGAATTATTAACTATGTAATACTTTTCAAGTTCATCCCTTATGCCTTGTAAGAGTGTAAACTTTGTGTTTTTAATTTAATAATAAATGGTATTTGAATGTTGAATATAACTTTAATTATTTATTAGATATAAACATTTAAAGTTTCAAATTTTGAGTTAATATACATGTATAATACACAAGGGATTACAAATACAGGTAGCTAATTGGTTTTTTTAGGACATTGCTGTCACAGTCACAGATTGTTTATTATCAATTATGACTATCAATAGATATACTTTTTATATTGTCAGTTAGTGTATTAATAAACTCACAATAATGTGCCTTACTACCATTGATAATAACAATGCTGTGTACCTGTGAATATTGATGTCATAAAAAACCAATTAGCTACCTGTATTTGTAATCCCTTGTGTATTATACATGTATATTAACTCAAAAAATTGAAACTTTAAATGTTTATATATAATAAATAAATAAAGTTGTATTGAAAAATTCGCATTTAAAAAAACAAAGTTTATACCCTTACAGGGCATAAGGGATGAACTTAAAAAGTATTACATAGTTAATAATTCAAGAATAATGTCTAATGATAACCAAAAAAAAAAAAAAAANATAATTGAATGGGTGATGATAAAAAAATCACCCTATATTACATATCATTGTATGCATATTTTTTACTATAGATAAACTTGACAATAATTTCATATTATTGTATAAAATAGTGATAATAATATCTATTATAATTATAAATTTAACATAATGTTTATTTTTATCTCTTATATAAAATTGTACATATTTTTTAATATTAGTAAGGACAAATTTTAAATTAATTACTTTGATCTGAATGTTTAATAAAAAATGTGTCCGGGTTATCACCTAAACTAACAGTACATCCTTTTAGAGGACATAATTTACATGGTTCACGTTTAAAATCATTTCTACTACACCTAAAACAAACAAATATTTGTTTTTTAATAAAATAGTATTAATTTATGAAAAAAAAAAAATTAAAAATCTGTTTATTTAAATTTTTGAAAACATAAATTAAAAGAACCAATAATTACAATTTTAAAGAATTGTAACAATCTTCTTACCCTTTAAATGATTTGGGTGCATAATAAATTAGTACTGATGCCCATAGCTGTATCCAATAACGTTGCCAAGTTGTTACTGCAGGTTTTCTTCCATTTTTTAAAACTACTTTTCGTCTCAAACAACTTTCCAGACTTATTTTGTGAGTACCTTTTAATGTTCTTCAAAGATTTAAAAAATAATAATTAATACACATTTAAATTTTGATATCAAACTTTATAAGACTATAATAGCAACAAAAGTTAAAACTTACTGTAAAGGTGATATCATTAAATTGGATAAATCTAAAACATTTTCTTCTATTAAAGAATCATCTAATAAATTTCTAGAGTTGACAGTAGAGAGAATTCCTTCATCAGACTTGTGAATTAGACTGTAAAAAAAAAACTTTCATTTATTTATATGTACAGTAATTAACTTAATTTAAACCTAAATTATCATTATGGTCTATTTAAATGCAGGTGTGAATAAATTGAATACTTAAATGGGGGATAGTTAACAGAACAAAATTTAGTAAAACAAATATTGTAATTTTTCATACTTAAAATTTAATTAATATATTATAATAAAACCTATTTAAGAACAATCAACACCTCTGAATCCCGGTCAGTCATATATATATTTGTAAAATTATTAAATTAAATACAACTGCCAAGTAAGATTTGAAATTAACTCCACTTCAAATGCTTTTTATAATGAATACATATTTTTTTACTTAATTTTACATAATGAATGAAATATTTATAATATATATAAATATATTAATTTAAATTTTTATTTTTTTAAGCTAGATAAATTTATAAGAAAAGCCACATCATTCAACAATTAATTATTATAATAACAATATAAAAGTTTAAATGGCCAAAAGTGAATCAAATTGTGCTTCACCTAAGGTTATTAGTTGTATTTGTATTTGTCACTTAAGTATTTAAACTAAAATTTAGACATAATATTTTAGTAAGATATTTATAAAAAAAAATTCTTATTAATCTAGATCAATCTTCTAATTTAAAATGATTTGTTTTAACTACACATACCAGATCTGGTTAAATTAATAAAATAATAATTAAGTTATTATAATAGCTAAAAATAAATCTGTGGTCTTTCTTTGAAAGCTAATAAAAATATGAATTAAGAATTATTGGCAATATTTTAGAGAGATGTATTTGCTATTGCCTACTAAAATTTGATCAGTTGATTTTATCCAAAAGGTATATTTTAAGATCTTAAAAAATTTTGGCTTTTATTAATTGCCATTGGAATTTTAAACTTATTTTTACTGTCCTAAAAAATTAACACATCAGCTTTGGAAAAATTACTTAATAAAATTAACTATACATACATATTTAGTTTTTAATGAATTTTTGTTTAAACCATTCTTTGAATTATTTTATCCATGAATAAGATAATGAAACTAAGTATTTAATAACTTCAATAATATTATAGTTAATAGTATGATATATGGTTAAATGTTTTACATTAATTAAATATAAAAAAAACATAGAACCTTTTTAGAATAATAATATTTTATAATATTATTAAAATAATGTTTCTTTTTATACATATATCTTACATTTATTTCATTTTTAGGATAACCTTTTATATATTTTTTTAAATACAAAATATTAGCTTAGAAAAAAATATTTACTAATAAAAATTTTGTAAAAAAAATTATGTGAGGGAATTTATATTATGATAATTTGAGACATAAAAGTAGATGAGTAATATTGAAAAATAAATTAGTATTATATCCCTTAATATTATTTTGAATAAGGGTTTTGGTCTATAATAAAAAAAAGAATAATTTTAATTTGCTCTAAAATAATTAGAAAAGTTTAGTAATAATTACGTTTGTCAACTGTTTTTTATCTAATATTCATATTATATAATATAATATATGTATTTCATAGTTAATTGATGACACGACCTTAAATTACATCTATTTCACTCAAATACTCTAAATGAATACTATTTTATAAGTTAAAAATGTTAAATAAAATTAATAATCTTTATTTTATACAGCATACTAAATTATAAATGCAAATATGTTGACTTCTATTAAACTGTATTTTTTATTTTTGGTATGAATAATTAATAACTGAAGGCTTATTAAAATGAAAAAAATGTCTTGTGTTAATGAAGCAGAAAAACTTTGAATATATATTGCGTTATATGCTGGGAAGAAAATAAAACAAACACTTAAAATGATATAAAAGACAATGTTGAAAAGCTACTAAGTAATTTAAAAAACTGACTTTTCATGCAAACCAAAATTTCACCACTTTTATGATCTTACCTATTATTATTATAGACTGTAGATTGAGTTACATTTTTTTTAAGAAAACTACGAGGTAGACTTGCACTGCGATATCTAATTTGTTTTTAAAATAACAACAATAAAAACAAATAAATATAAAATATTTATTATCATTATACTTAACAATAATAAAAACATAGTAATTATACAGCAAATTTTTTTATACTAATTATAAGTAATAATTGTAGCAGTAATTATAAAGTTGTATCTAAAAAAAATAACAAACATACTTTGAACAACTAGATGTTTTTGGATGATTTTTTGTAAAAGATATTTTTCTGATTCTTAAAAGATCTGAAGATTTTGCAGGTGATAAGCTTAAAGATTCTAATAAAACTTGATTGACAGAATCTTTAGAATCTTTAGAATTATCATTTTGGCAAGATAAAGGTTCTAATTTGAGTGATAATCTATGATAGATTTAATTAAATAAATTTTAATTATTATAATTGTTATTAGAAAAACTAAACTATGTAAATTTGATAAATATTAAATTGTAAATTGGACTTACTTATATTGGTCATCTTGAACAAACTTATGTAGTTCTTCAATATAACGAATAGAATTCAAATAATCATGGATCTTAGGGAAATGTGTTAAATGATCATATCTGCTTGATTGCATGTGAGAAATAACTCTTAAAATATTATTCATTTTTAAGCGTCGAGCTTCAGATTCCATTAATCCACTATTTTTGTGTGGGTGAGCCATATCAACATATACAAGGTCAGTCAAAAATACACCTAAAATTTATTATTAATAAAATATTATTCTATAAGAGGGCATTTTTGATGGAAAACTATAGTATTTTATTAATAAACTTTACCTAAATAAGGAATACATGGAAGGCGCAATGTTTCTAAATGATCTCGAAGATTTCTCCAGTTATTGCTTTCTGAGAATACATTAGCTAACTTATCAAATGACTGACGATCTTTTTTAGAGACATTGTTCCATGATTTCGACAACCTGTTATAGTTTATTAAAACTTAATACTTTATAGTAATTTTTTATTAACATTTAATCATTGTAATACCTATAAACTGAAGCACTTTGGAGAGAAGAGATCACAGCAAATAATGAATGAAAATTATTAAGTTCATACAATTTTTTTGAAATTTTTATAAATTGAGTAATCAGATCAGCTCGTAGTTTAGGTGTAACACCTTTTAAAATTTCTTGAACAACCCAAAAAGAAACCTAGGAATTAAAATTGAATAATATATATATATAGATCTTATTCATACCTTTTCAATTAAACTTACATGGTTAAATTGCCTAGAAAAAGCTACAACATTTGGCGATACTTCTAATTTTTGTTTTTTATTCCAAGCGCATGACGACAGTTCTTCTGGTGAAATTTGATGGAAAATTTCCAAATCCAAATGTGTAAGTTGAGAAGCCCAATCTTCAGGTAATATCCCTGTTGTTAACACACCTTTAGTTGGATCAACACTTTGTTCGTCAATAATAGTTGCACTGCAGGGTTGTTTCAACGTCATATTACATGGAAGACTATGTGATTTGCATTGTCTAGTCAAACCACTATGAAAATGTAAAAAAACCCAAATTTATTTTTTTTAATAAATGAAACAGACCACATTTTTAAAGGGTTCATGAGGTCTAGCCAGCTGACTACTACGTGAAAATTTTCTAAATTACATAACACCTATTAGTATTATGTAGACAGTGAAGTTTTTTTCGTTTCCAAAATTTTATTTTGGAGAGGTTTAAAGTATCAGAATGAAACTAAAATTTTTAGAAGTTAATAACATATATTTAACACATCAGAATATTTTTTTCTGATTGTCTTTAAAAGTTAAGTTTAAAGGAAATCATTTTAAGAGTGATTTTTTTTTTTTTATTTATATGATATTAATCATTCACTCTTTTTCAAATAAACGTTTTACTAACAATTTCGAGAAAAAAAAAAAAATTTTAATGTTTGCTTTAAATTTATTTTATATTTTTGATAGCAACAAAAGTTCATTAAATTATTATTTCGAGATTATATATAGCTAACTTTTTACGATGAAAAAGATCTTTTTTATTAACCTAATATTTTTTCAATTGAGCATTTCGTGCTAGAATATATCGTTTTTAGAGAGAACAAATTGAATCATTTTGCAAATAAACGGTTTAACTATGGAATTAGTCTATTTTACATAATGAAATACTATTGTACGACATAACCAAACAAAGTATGTGGAACGCTCTTTTCTAACCACCAAATTCCTACTATTTCCTAATCGGTATCTACTGAATGCCGTTATACTACATACTCTAACACATTGTTGAGTATATTTATAGTTTATTATAGCCAATGATATAAAAGCATATGTCCTGTTTTAATAATGTAGAAGCGTTGATAGATAACATAATAACAATTCAATGACAAATCGATTAAACGTTAAATTTTATTTTCTGAAAATTGTTATAAAAACACATTCTTTAAAGAGTTAAATTTCTAAATACAATTAATCATTTCAACTTTTTCTATTGTTTATTCAGTAGTAGTTTGATTCGAAGTGACAACCAATTAAAAACTTAAAACTACACATGAATGTTGGGATCATTCAAAAAAAATCTAAGTAAATATTTTTTTTAAACGTAAAACCATCAATTTCACACAGAATATCACAATGACTCACCATGTTAAAGTTTCAGATAGTCGCCGTTTGTGCTTTTGTTCATTAGACGGTGTCGATAAGTTGGACGGATATTTTTTTAAAGAATTATAAGTCGTTAGTTTTCTATATTCAGTATTTGACACCATATATTCGTATGAGTCTTCATTGTCGAGAACTTTAGACTTCACCTTCTGCAAACAACAAAACATGAACATGTTAAATTGAAATCCAATCACATATAATTTCGAACAATTAAATTTTATTTTAAATAACATATACTGAAGAAGATATAATTTACAATGGAAATAGACAGAAGTAAAAAGAAATTTTAAGACTTATAAAAAATGCAGAAGCAAAACGCAGAGACATTTATTGACTATAATTGGGCTAAGACAGCTAAATAGACATGAGCGTTTATGTATAATGGAACTGAAATAAACTTGATAAGAGTTTGGTTGTGGAATTTTGATGAAGATAAGCTCTATAAACGTAGTAATTACTGCGACACTTGTGGGAATAAAACATACGGCGATGACCGACAACATACGTTTATGTAATCGTCTTTCGGTTGAAATTCGATTTTGATTTTTTTGACAATTGAATAATAAATAATTATCACAATATGTAGCTTTAAGAAGTTACTATAGTAACATATTGTGAGGAGCTATTATAATAGCTCTTCATACAAAACACGAGATCTACACTGAATCTAAAGAATACTTACAATAATAACAGTCAGTTCAAGCTTTGAATGTATAACATATTTTGAAATATTAAAGTTGTTCATAAATTATTAATAAAAGTTGATATGATTTGTACAAGTAAAAATTAACACTATCGATAATTAATTTAAATCTTAATAGTTTTTACAACAAATTTTTAATTCAAGTACCACGTTGTGTGTTGTCTAAGATTAATTTAGAGAGTGAGAATTTAACGTTTAAGTATCAAACACTATCAATTACACTAGCTATATAGGTTACCCCAATTGCTAATACACTACATAAAATTTTTATTTCAATAGGTTGAATAATTTTTTGGTAAGAACAATCTAAATTATTTTTACAGATTTTGCTTTTAAGGTAAATAGTGAACAGTTTAAAACATAAATCTCAAAAAAAATGTCATTTTTATATATTGAATAAACCATATTTTATAGCTTATTTTTAAATATCTCTCAATATAATTTTTAAATGCTAGCCAAGGAACTAATATAGAGCTTATCAATGTTTCCAAAATTTTATTTTACAATTATTGTAAGGTTTCTAAGCAAAATTAAATAATTGGTCAAACATTGATATATTACCATTTTTAATAAATATTGATAGTATTAAAAATCTTTAGGAGTAATTTAAAAAAATTAAAAGGATCATTAAATAAGTAAAATAAATATCTAGAAATATAATCATTTAATGTTATTGGATAAATTAAATAACCGCATTTATTACGGCTGTTTAAACATAATGTACATATAGGTAAATTTTAATTTTTTTTGAATTTTATTACAAAAGAAAAAAAAATAAAATAACATAAAATATTTAGTAAATATAAAGCTATTAGATTTGCTAAAACATTGTGGACATTTCTGTGTATATATATATATATATATAGAAGCAATTTTTTAGACATCAGAATTTAACCTACTTTAATAACTAAAAAATAAATAATAATCAATTTGATTTTTATTATAATTTATTAGATATTTGTATTGTCATTTAATAATTATAATTGTAGATCTTAAGAAAGGTTATACCGTAAAAATATAAAATTATGATATCAAAAAAAGCACAAGTGTTTTTTAATAAATTATGATCTAAGAGAATAGACATGAGAATAGGCTATTTTTTTTGATACACAAAATTATTAATTATACACAAAGTATGGTATGACAGTATATTAAGCTACCAATTTCTTATAAATGATTAGTATTAAAATACAAACAAAATACAATTTTTTGGAAGAAAAAAATTATTTGACACGATTTTTCTTCAAATTGCGCTTGTGCTTAAACTTTAATAGTCATAAGCAATTCACATAGATAAATTAATATAAATCAATCGAAAACTTCTTTAAACAAATAATTATTAACGTCGAAAGTGAAAACTTAAGCATTACAATAAATGACGAATGCGCTGAATATGTCTTAAGGTTTGTGTAGTCAGCCATTTTTTTTTTGTATATCGGTATACAATAAGGTACTAAAAATAAATACAACTAAATTGTAAACAAGTGACGTTTTGATAACGAATAACTATGATGTCATTATTTTATTGGCATTATCAACATCTCTAATAATTTAACCATGCCATATCACCTATGCATTACGAACGAGAAAATGTGCGAACATTAAATAACAATGCGATTGATTATTAAATGCATAAAGAATGAATATAATAAGCTATATATATATAATTATTGTTTGCCGAGTAAAATTTGAAAGTTACAATTAGGTAACTTATTATTAATAAGCTATTTACTGTAATTGTACATTTAAAATGTAAATTGTATAAAATATGCAGACTAATATAGTTTTAGAAAATGGTTTAAGTCTTAAACTTCCCATAAGTTAAGAAGAATTAAAATACATTACTTGAGATTTTCTTAAAAAAATAAGCTAACTATTTTCGATAGAACTTCATTGAAATATAGAAACATAATTTTTTGTTCCTTATATACAGAATATTTTTTTTACAATGGCACGAGACACCAGAAAAACAGCAAAAAAGCTGTTAAAAAATGAAGTTGTAATATATAAAATTGGCAGTATTAATAAATTTATTATTTGTGTAAACTTTTCGATATAACACACAATCCGAATTAATTTAAATAAAAAATTATTTTATAAATAAATTTAACACAGAAATATTTCCTAAAATAATTGTAATTATAGTTACCTACTTATTAACGTATCAATGTTTATGCATTAAAATAAAAAATCAATTGATGAACGCTAATAGACAAAATATCTCTCATAAAAGAAATATTAAACTCATAACATATTTCAAACGCTCAAGTGGTTTTAAAAATAAATCACTAACTTTTTATTCCATTCAAAACCCAGATGTTTCGCAAGGTCAAAATGTTAAAGATTAAGTTTCCATTGAACTATAAACATTATGCATAAAATCTTACATGTATTTCTTTTAGAATCATTAAGGATTTTTTATCAACATATTTGATTTTATTAAGATAAAATAGAAATAAATCGTGAAAAAGGATCATAGTTTTTAAATAAAACATTCTAAACAACTGAATTCATTTGAGAACTCTACTTTAAACAAATTTCAACTAACTGGTATACATGTATACATTTTATTTTTTAGTGTTATTTTACGTATTAAGGGCACTAATCATATATATATATATATATATATATATATATATATATAATTTTTAATATGAATAATCTACAATATCGAGTCAAATTTAACAATAGTAATGGTCATTTTTATTTAATAAATCTTGAAGTTCATAGAACACTATTATAATTCTACTTGAACTTGGAACAGATAACTTACAACTCTTATAAATTTTAATACATATAACTGTCCATTATTTATAAATCATAATTAAATATTCTTGATTAAATTTTTTTTTTTAATTATGATGAGTTTAACTCGGTCGAGTTCTATGTATAACCATTTCATTGAAACCTTTTTTTTAACTATTGTTGCTTCTTTGATCATATTTAAAGTATATTTTTTATATTTTATCACTATTAAAACAAAACAAAGTTTTAAATTAATCATTTTTTAACCTTCTTTTTTACAAAAATGTTGATGTATTAATAACAATTTTAGGATAAATACTCTTTGAGCTATAAATATTTTATTACATAGATAGTGGATATAATGAAAAAAATATAATATAACTATTAACACCACTACAATCAATATGAAAATATATCAGTTGGTCAAAATCAATTATTTTAAATTAAATGATTAAAAATGAGAACATATCTTATAACTAAAAAATAACTTTATTGTACATCAAATATTAAATTTCAAATACACCACTTTTGGGAAAAAAAGTTGAAATTTTGTTGGTTTAATCATTTTTTAAACACAAAACAATAATAACTTGAATAATGCTCAAAACGAGTATACAATAATATTAATTTAATTTTTTTTTCATAATTTTTAAGGTTACTTAACTATCAAATTATAAGTGTTTACAAAAAAAAACACAATAAATTTTCCTATTATAAACATACCTCAGAAACGTTAAGCGAAGGAAAATCATCTATAGATACATCTCTGGGCATTTCAGCATATCTCATTTTTGCCATAGATAATAAAATAATTCATTTTCGAGTCATTCGTCTGTAAAAACAAAAAATTTAAAATACTTTATTAATTTATTTTATTAAAAAAAACTTATAAATCACAAAACCAGGATCATCGTATTAATATTTTAATTTCTTTTTAAATTGGGAAAATAGTTAAGCAATTAGTAATAATTATCTTGTTTTGAAAATCCAAATAATTTTTAATAAAGAACAGTAATTTGTCTTTAAATAAATAACAACTAAAATAATTTTGGACAAATTTAAAATTCGGTAGTTATACCATAATCATTATACCTTATTTGATTTTTAACAATTCAAACACACCTCTCGGGACATTTTAACATGATATATTCATCTATTTAAGAATTTACTATTCATCAGCTCTTTATACAGCTAACCAAACGGTTATCTAACTACGCAAAACATTAAAACAATGCTTGTGTTTTACTAGCTATTGAGTCTAACTGAAAACAATTAATTGTAATGAAATATTCTCAATAATGCATTACTAAATTCACTCTCGGTAACAACAATTTCTAAATGCGGATATAAAACGTACAATATATTGATTGCAACCTACAAGTATTATGATATTTAATACATAAAATTGTTTTTTTATTGAATGAATTCAGATTACAATGTCATATTAGTAGGTCAACTAGTGATGGATTTTAAGAAACAAGAGAATTTCACTGTACAATCAATTCATAACACAAATTAGTCAAATTAATAATTATTGTATTATATATCGTTTTATTATTTAGATTTCCGAACTCTTTAATGTTCTAATTGAGTACGCAAAACTTAAATTACAGAGTTTCACGATTTATGCGTAGAAATCAATTTTGCACGGTAGAGTTACATTAAGACGTCGCATCGTTTTAGATCAATATACATTTTTTTTTAAGATTCATCTTTAGGGAAAGTATTGTGACTAAAAATCACGTTTTCCTAAAATATTTATAGTGAAAATTAATACTTATAACGCAATAAAAGTGTGAATATCCAGTAACCATACATTGTGGACAATAAATAGTATAATGGGCGTTGGCAGAATACTTTAAACTGTATTTAGTACAACTATGATGAATGGGAGAGTCAAAGGTTGAAGTTATTAATATAACAGTGCAAAATATAAATTAATCGTTACCACACATCAAAAAAAACATAGTAGGTAGCTTCTAAAACCTTCTAAAGAGGTAATATTATAACATAGCGTGAGTCGTTTAACCTTCGATCGGCAGGTGTAAACTGGATAAGAGAACATATCATCGCTTTGATATTTTCATATCTTATGGATAGTTATATAAAATATTTTAACATGTTGTTTCCAGTAGTTATTTTATGAATTAAATTCCCTAGAACACATTGGACACACATATTTTTATTTATAATATAGTACGAAAAAATGTGCCACTTTATAATGTAACTTTTCCTTGCATCAAATGAAAAAATAATTTTATTGCGCTAGACTGATTTTAATTGAAAGTGATTTTTTATATAAATAGCTACTACAAAGTATAAAAAAAATATTGCATAGTTAAAAAAAATTCAGACAGAATAATTTTTACTAATTAAATTTTTTTAAATATAATTATTGATAAAAAAAATGTAGAAGTGCGCAGTTCATTAGTTGTACTTGAAAAAGTATCGAAAATGTAGCTTAAATATTACTTTAATTTATAGGTGGTTTATGTTACAACACAATAATAATGTGCCTCTTGTAGGTATTATGTAGTAGGATTTATAAATAACAAAATATTTGCACCTACTGTTTTATCATTGAATTCATTGTTCTTTAGTACCTAAAACGGACGCATTAAAATTAACACTAAAGTAAATTTGATTAAAAATCAAATTAGTCAATATATATCAACAAAATTAAATAGTTTTTTCTTGATAAAAAAAACGCAGCTACTTAGTTCGTTTAAAGGCGATCTAAAAATTAATATCATCGAATTCTATTAAATTATTTGCAATAATAAAAAATCTCGAAAAAAAAAACAAGTTTTTCATATTTAAATTATCAAAACTTTAAAAAATGACTGGTAATAAAACTCAATATTCTAAATTAGCAATTATAAATGAACACAATTAATTAGAGATCTAATTAGTTCAATAAATTACATTTTTTGGTTTTTATCAAATTTTGAACATTAAAATTAGCTTATTTAAACCCTAAAGTAATATTTAAATATCTAGAAAAATTAGTATTTTTACGACACAAAATATAAGTTTAAAATTTCTCATCAGAAAATTCTCTACCATCTAATGTTTTTATGAGGCGCTTTCGCGTAAAAAAGATCATTAAAGTTTTTTTAATACTTAAAAAATAACTTTTAAGTAATTTATAAATTGTAAACCCAGAAATTATAAAAAAAACAGATACTTAGTTGAGTGTACAGTTTTTTAGATCGTTAGCTAAAAACTAGTACTGTTTTCATACATTTTTTAAAGTAAAAACTACGGAATGCATGCTATTGCTGTTCATTTATCATGAAATGTTTATTTCCAGTTTAAATTTATTTTACATAAGATAGTATCACATTTTATGTAAATTAGATTACAGTTAAAAGTTTATAAACCTTAAATGTCAAACGTGTAATTTAGCGAGTGACTTCACGAATACAGTAACTAATATGCATAATCAAACAGTTGGCCACATATATATTTATACACTACTACTTATGAAAAGTTGGCAACTCAAGTTAATTTTTACTCATATTTCAAAGTATTGCTGTGAAATCAAAAATTCATGAATTAATTTTTCAAATTAGGCTAATGAATGATTTTTAAATCTACTATAGAATGGTGTTAAAAAAAAAATTTGATCCATTCAATTTTTGACTCTGAAAAACTTCATAAACTACAAAACAAAAAACCCAGCACAGGGGGGTCGCAGCACAGTGGTGGGCATGGCATAATTGGGTCAAGTATAAAGATTTCTGACAGTGATTGAAATCACTATCATAAAAAACGCTTCAACGCAAATCTGTAAATAATGTTTAATTTAAAAAAATTGGTAGATTATTCGAAAAGCTACATGATCTCTTATTTCCTTATTTATATACTGATTACAAATTTTATGATTTATAAGTGTAATATATATACAACATATAAATATACAAAGTGAAATGGTTATAATTAAAAAAAAGTATGTCAAATGAAAGAGGTTTATAAATAGTATTTATCATAAAAAATTGCATTGATCCATATATTAACCGTGAAGACAAAATAAAGTCCGAAATTATTTTTTTTATAATAAATAATATTACATTAGCTATAATTTGAGATATATATAAAAGTGTCAAAGTTTCCGGAACACTTTAAAAAGTTAATTTTTTGTGAAAAAGTTGTCATTTTGAATCCCCCTTGTGGGCAGGTAAAGGGTCAAATTTATAAAAAAAAAATATATCAAAGGATAGGTAAATACTTCATGTATCTATATAAAAAAAATTATATCGATTTTGTCTTTTTTTAAAAAATTATGGCTATTTTAAGTAAAAAAAAATTGAAAAAATGTCGAAAATTAATGATTTTTAAATTTGTAATTTTTTTGGAGATTTCCCACATTTACGGGGAACAAGGAAAATTTTTTTCAATTTGTGAGGGTAATTTCTCCGACTACATACGATTTGTGATCTTTTGACGCATCGTTGAAAGAAATTTGTGCAGTGAGAGCTGAGAAAAAGTGATAACAGACACAAAAAAAAACACATAGTAAAATAAATACTACGTATTCAACTTTGCATCAAAGCTAAAAATCAATTTTAAAATTTTTTTTTTATCAATACCATCAAAGGTTCAAAATCAGAGGGAATAAAAAATATATTATATAAAAGAATTTCTCATTCTATAAAAAACTAATACTATTATTTGCTTAATGACAAAATTGACATATATAGAGCGATTTAATCATATCAAATTACATTATTTTGAAATTCCGTTATCTCCAAAACCATTAAAAAAGGAAACCAAAATGTTTACTCTTAAAATACAAATTAAATATTTTTTACCTAAAACACTTAAAATCTTAAAATATTCATAATATTATTGAGATATTTTTGGTACAGTCCTTATTGTAGACTTTAAAAACTATCCATAAGCCCAATTAAAAAAAAAAATTTTAAAAAGAATTTTTGACTTAGCGCAATACTTTGAAATACAAATAAAAATGCAGCATTTTCTTTAAAGATATAAAAGAAATGTACTTTTTCATTTTAAAATTTTAACTACTCAAATTAGACAAATGCATTTTGCTTATTCTTATTAGCCTATATTTGCTATAAAACATTTTCAGAGTAAATAAAGCTGTTTGAATTCTGTATTACTTGTTAACAATTTGTATTCAAGAATTTACATGTCAAATTTATATCATAACCAATGTAGCTGAGTGGTAGAAGAACCTTTTCAACTACATAACACTAATTTTTATTTATGAACTTATATATATAGCCAGATTTAAGTAGACATGGCTGCATCATCAGATGATGAAATTTTTAAATAAAAATATATTTTATTACCTTTATTATAAGAGTGTAAGTGATTTAAAGAAATATTTCTCTTAAAAAAATAAGATATAGTTTGAAATGATAAAGGGCAGTGGTGTTTTGGGGATATTTATCATATACCAACTAACAACTTTTTTTAATTAATGTATACAAATGGAAAATAAAATCTTATGCATTGTTTATATTGAAGAGTATACCCTAATAAATCAGTGTATACCCTAAAATAAAAAAAGGAATTCTTATAAAAACATCACAGATAGAGTTTAATAAACAGTGTTTATGTTTTCATATTTCTAATTTTACAATACCACACAAAACTTAATACTTATTTGTTTATTATCAAATTTTCTATAATAATAATATTAAATAATTGAATAAATCTGCATGAACATTTATTTGTACATTTAAAAATAAAAACAATAATATAGTATACTTATAATTAATATATTTAAGACTTGTGTAATAAAGTAGCAAAAATGCAAAAGAGATTATTACTCCGATACCATTTTGAATTTTTCATCAATGCATTCAATTTTACTCTTAAAACAAATAATTAAAATGACATTATTACACTGTAAGTAGGAAGACAGTCTTTTAACAAAGTGCTCATTGAAAAGAGTTTAAAATAATTTTTTGCTATCTGTACAATTAACTATCATGAACTAAAATATACAAATTAAAAAAATTGAAAATCAAATGATGTTTATTTCATGTTAATTTTTTCATACTTTAATACAAAAACATTGACATAATATAAAAAAGAATAAATTAACTATGTAATTTTTTTTTAACCAAACCATAGCATTTAATGGATGTCATAATACATTATCTTCTATTAAAGTGTTAAGTATTATACCATCTTAAATTTTATTTTATGAGACATAATTTTGAATTTATGAAATTGATTTCCACTTTATAGACATTTAATTTATTTCTTAATTTTATTTAAAATTTATTCAGGAAGTTAATTTTGAAATTAAGTTCTTTGGGAATATATTAAATAATTGTTATTTAATATACTTATTATTTATTAACATCAATTATTAATGATTTAAATTCTATAAGAAAAAGAAAATAGCTTGATTAAAAATAAATTATTATTTAATTTGCATTTCATCAAATATATAGACTCTAAAATGCCTATTTACTACAAAAATACTAAATCATTTATTATAGTTAAATTTAATTCTAATTTTTAAAATTTTGTAGCATATAGTGAACATGTTTGTACCAAAAATTTTAATTGATATCTTAAAAAGTAGTATATATTTCTTTGTAAGTTAGTCAATTTAGTAAATAGGCAATAGACATTTATTTTTAAATAATACTAACATTACATTTAAATATTATGCATGATACTTACGTAAAAATAACGAGTTATATGAAACTATTTTATCAAATGTTCAATATTTTTATTGTTTTTGCAGAAAGGCAGGTGTACAGGACGTCATGATTCACCGTAGAAAAATAGATTTTGTAGAGACAATCAACATGGTCATGGTTCGCTGGAGTAAAAAAAAAGCAACAGATATTCTATGCAAAACAGCTAAAGTAGAATATTAAATACATTCAATCAACAGAAACAAAATCTTAGATAAACGGAACGGACATTATTAACAGAACGGAATCACTTACATAAAACATAATAAACAGAAATGACTTACTAATGAACAAAAATAAACATTAAGGATAATTACCATAAAAAATTAAAGCATTATAACATTTTATCAACTTCAATAAAAGTGTTGACTATATTTAACTCTCGACGCGTAGTGACAATAGAAGACCAACAAAACCGAACTTGCTGGTAAAAGAAACTGAATGTCAGCAACCCGCTGAATCACATCGCCCGTACATTATCAATCGACATAAATAGTTCGTTATCATTTGGCACATCCCCTCCACACCTATGGACTACAAGTAGAAACTTGGTCCACTCGATAACACGTACAAATTACAACAACGGACAATAATTGTGTGTTGTCAACAACAATAATTATTATTAACAGGGTTTATTTGCGAGTTTATTCTGTAATTAGAGCGTAAGTGGTGCAAGTAAATTTTTTAATTTTTCAGAAAATACTTAAAAATATTTTAATCTCGCAAGAACTAATAAAAATATAGAATAAAAAAATATGTTGAAATATTTTAATATTAAACTCATTTTACCCAAAGCTTAACTAGCACCATTTTTGCTCTAACCTCAGTAATTGTTTTTCTTTATAATGCATTTACCATAGATGATAAATATATGGATATGAAATGCTTATACCAATAACTTATTGGATTGTGTGCCAAATTATGTGTATTGCCATACCCAATTAATGAATTATGAATTATCGTGCGATAAGGTCTGATGTCATATCCACATATTATCTACGGAATTTACGCTCAGAACCAGCGTTTTACATCATTTAAATGAACATATAATTGACATGTAAAATTCATGAATGAATTATAATAAAAAAGTAAAATTATCTTTATAACTGATATACAATTATTAATGAATTAAATAATTCCTGTAAAATTAATTATTATAATAATGTATTATTATTTAATATTCATATACAATATTATATGTTGAAATGATCAGTTTTACATCCTTCCATTTCACAAACCTAAAATGCTACAGATGGTGGTGGCCCTCTTTCACATGTTAGGGAGTTAAAAATGGTTCTTGGATAGGCTAATGATGGACGGAACACGTATTAGGGCAGGCTTGCGCTAGAGACCAGATACCACCGATGAAAAAATCATAAGATAATCTCGTTGGTACTCGAGGGACCAACTCTGTGAACCAAAACATTCATTTCTACCCTCTAGGCCAGCCAACCTTACATTATAATATATAAAGATTAAAATTATATATCATGTAAATTTTAATTTATCCAATATATTCGCTACTTAAATAAAGTGACTAATCACAATAGATTAAATTTCACGATAGACTAAAATGGCATCCATTGGAATTGAAAAATATTTCATTATATAACTCGTAAGTATTAATTTGTTAATTATTTGAAAAAATAAAAATCAAAGGAATCAAATAAACTTCTTAATTTAATTCAAATATTTTAAGTGTAGACTACTCTAATGATATTAACCCAAATTCAATGTCATATAAATATTTTGTGTTTATAAAGCAAACAATCATAGCATTCAATTGAAAACCCTAAATAATTTCCTGTTAAGAAAATGTTTGGCCTAAATATATAAGCAAATTTTAATATACAACTTAATTGACTTGTTTTATATATAATCCTGGAGAGTTATAATAGGTTTACCACCAGGCTTTGATATCTTATTAAAAAAATAATTTTTTTAAACATTTTTCTTAAATTTTAAATTAAATATTTTTAGCTATTTTCTTACAAAAAATTTTGATTAGTCGATATTAACTTAAAAATAAGTAATTATCAAGTTACAAGCATTTTAATGCATAGATTATGTATAACACGAGTGGATACAGCTCTTACTGGTGTACATTTGTGTTAGATTTCAAAATGGGCTACATACCTACTCTATGTATTTAAATGATTGTAACTCAATAAGTACTAATCTTAAAGATGATATAAACCCATCAATATTGTAAGAAAAGAAAAATAACTATTTTTAAATTCCAAAAAAAAGAACTTTTATTAAAAATAAACAATAAAAAATATATTTTTCTAGAAGTCCTAAACTGTAAAAATTAAAAAAAAAGTAATATAAAATATTCACTGGACCAAAAGTTATTAAAGATGTCAAAACCTGGTAGGACAATCTGTATACACTAAAACATTTAAAATATTCTATTATTAGTGAAGGATTTACTACTAAAAAAAATATTTTGAGATGTACTAAAATAAATAAAAAATATATATTACTAATAAATAAGGAAAACACTTTGTAAAAAAAAAAAAAATAATACATACTGAATATATGTAAAAAATATACAATATTATTTTAATTAAGATAGTCATACAAAAACTTTTATAATACTCCAATAACTTATAATAATTAAGTATTAAATAAAATATACATCTTTGGTAATGAACACATAACGTGGGTATTTAAATTGGTTTGAGTTGTTATTAATTGCCACTTTTACGTTCAAAGAGCGATGATACACATTCTTGTATGTAATGCAAGCATGAAGTCTTAATTAGAAAACCTCCAGCTTGTTCTGATACAGTTCCATTCCTAATATATTTTAAATACCCTAATGAATCCAATTGGGTGATTTCTGGACAAGGAGGTCCATAAAGCTGAATAGAATATGGTTCATACTTATATAATGGACCTTCTTTAATTTGAATAGGTATAGAAGATTGATTAAATTTAATACCAGTAGAGAAATTTGTGAAGTTAATAGATTTTGGTACAGATAAAGGTTTAGATACTATAGGAATTTCTTCTTTTTTATTCACATAAGAACTAATAATATCTTTAACATTAGAATTTGAATGAGCTAAGTTATCAATCAACTCAGCATCTACCCTTAGCTTTTTATTTCTTTGTTCAGTTTCATCTCTCAATAATTCATCTCTTTTATATTGAGTGTGTAATTTTTCTTCTTCAATTAATTCATCAAGAGCTTGCTCTTCACGTTTTAATTTCATTCTATTCCTAATAATAATGTCTTTATTCTCTTTTTTATATTGCTCTATGCGTTCTCTAGTATCATTTACATTAGTATTTTTAACTAAATTAAAAATAATGTCTTCTACCATTTCTAGATAATCATTATACTTGTCTAAGGTTTCAAAATCTTCTTCTGTTTTATTAAAATCTCGTAATATTCTCTTACGTATTTCAACTTCTACATCTACTGTAGCATCTTCAAATTGTTGGAGTTTAAAAGCATTACGTCTTAATGGAGTCAGACATTTTGGGCACGGACCAGAACCTGAAATTTAAAAATTGGATAGTAAAAATTGTTCATGGTAGATAAATAACTATTATAGAACAGAATAGAAACAAAAAAATTATTTTTCTTCTGTATCACAAATTGGTAATGCTTAAAAATAATATTAATAAATCTTTAAGCGACCGTTTTGTGAAATAATAATTTTGGCAATTTTTTGAACAAAAACCATAAACAAATAATGCATTTGTCTTCGAAATGCCACACATAAATACCATCACTTGTTATTAGATTCATATTACAAAGATAAAATTGATAATAATTATTATTTTACTTAATCTATTAAAAAAAAAAAAAAAAGAATGATTAGTATCCATTATCATTCATAATTGTTGAATCATTGAATTTTCCAATTTATTGATAAATCTCAAAGTAATATATTAATTTAGGATTTACTAAAATACTAAGTCATAAATTACATTTATATCAAAATAAATAATTTATCTGTTTCATACAATTTATTTTAACTTCAGTATTGTTTGACAAATTGGTAATGCTTTCTAATCATTATAATGAATTAAAAGCGACCGTATTTGTATTTATTGTTTTAGGCATATTTTTGAACAAAAAATTAAAAAGTTTTCTTTTTTTTTGTCTTCGAAATGCCAAAATTCCAATATAACAATAGTCTGTAATTTGTTGAACATACAGCATCAAAGTATGCCTTACAGTGATGAATTGCGTGTTTTTTAAAATTGGAATGCTCAGACATTATGTATGGATAGAATTCAGATATTGCAAATGTGACATGATTACAATTGGTAGTGCTGCCAAAGTACATTACAAAAGTTTGATTATGTTCTATTTATTAGATATTAGTACAACATCATTTACATATATTGTATACATATAAATATACATGTTGCTAATGAACATATAAATAATATGATTGCCACAGAACCCCATAAGTATCCCAGTACTATCACCACCTTTAGAACCTTAAACCAAACAGTCAAATTTTATTTAACAAACTATAAAATTTAGGAAATCTTCATCTTTATTTAAATAAGAATTGTAAGATAAGCTTCAGTAATATTCTACTACAGTTTCTAAAAAGAGGGCAAATGGAAAGGGACAGAGTCTTCCTTCTTATTTGGAGTACAATCTAATATCCTCTTTAAGTAAATAGCCAAATACTGGGGGGACGCTTTAATTTTGGACACTGAAGAATGGAAAGTTTTAATATAAGAAATTTATTCGAATGGTCAAAATTTCTTAAACTATAACTAAACTATAAAATTTCTTAAATAATAACTTAAAGAATGATATTATAAGAACTTTATGAAACAACCGTGGTAATATAAGTACTTGGAGCACGGTCCATGTATGAATACCATGACGTAATCATTGTTATTTAATTGTTTTTAGATTATTCAAAAATTTAATTAATTAATTCTTTAATGTAAGATTAAAAAACCATGTAATTAATTTATGACTACACATGGAACTAAAAGACTTATTATATTAAGGGTTGAGTTATAAAGAGATGTAAATAAAAATTTAAGGCGTTATAATATTAGTTATATTAATAAAACTTCCGTGGTAGTTATGTTTTTAGTTTGTTGAATACTTTATAAATTATATTACATTATTTATCATGTCATATTTTTATATGTAGATACCTAACTAAATTGGTTACTATTAATATTTTTTTCTCTTGTTTCTGTTATAAAATAATATTAAAATTTAAGACTGTTTTGCATTTATTTACATAATAAATTAAAATTTTTCTATCGACTTTGTGATGTTTTGTATTATTTCTAATTCATTTTTAATGAAATAACAAAAATTATAGATAAGTACTAGTTTATTAATTTATTAAGATAATTATTTTTTATTGAGAATATTTGTTTATCATGATTAATATTATTTTTAGATCTTAAGGTGAGACATTTTTATGTTCCCGAGCCAATTTAATGTGGCTCGGGAACACTCCTCATTTTTTAGCACCTATAGTACCCCACTTTAATTACTGTTTTGTTATAAAAAAAATAGTGTCAATAAATTTTTTTTAAATTACACAAAAAACTTTGTTTAAAAATTATTTGTACAATTAATTTAAAATAATATATCCCAGTTAATATTTGACAAACAGATTTTTAAAAATTTACCAATTATATATTTTTAATAAAAATATTAAGCTATTAAAATTGTAACACAAATTGGTAATGCATTAAATTATTAACAATCCTTTGCGACCGTGTTTGTGAACATAATATAGGCCAAATTTTGAACAATATTCAATCATTTATGACTTGATTTGCCTTCAATTTGCCATAATAATAAATTAATTTTAATTTATAAAGTGATAATCCCATTATGTTATTTAAATACATTTTTAAATTATAAATCTCAAAGAGTTATTAAATATTATTTTGATCTACCTCTAATGTAATTTAATCATAAAAATTTATTTTTTTTTAAATGGAATTTTGCATATTTATCAAGTTTAAATGTTAGTAAATAATCTAATAAAGAAAATGATCGGTCAATAACAATTTTGATATTATATCAGAAGTTATAAACTAAAAGATGAAAAAAATTGAATGGAGGACGGTACTAGAAATTGAATGAAAAATTGATATTGTACATATAATTTTAATATTTTTAATAAAAGATTATTTTCCAAAATCTATTATGTAAATTTTAACAAATGTCAGAAGAAAAAAAAAACAAATATCAATAGCACCTTGTACTAATTGAATTTTATTAAGTACAAAATGAACCTTTTCACTGAAATTGAACCATAATTTTTGTCATGAATAAAATATATTTTTCTCCGTTCAAACTAACAACAATGTCAAATTCTACTTGTAACTCACAAACTTTTAGATACAAGTTATATAAACTATTATTAATGTTAGATGAATAGTTAATATATGATAAGAAATTTATTTCACTATAATTTGATGAGTCGATACTGAAAAACACATGCTTTTAGACTAATAGTCAAAAATATCTTTGATATAAAAAGAATTATAAACTGTATAAGAAATTTACATAATATTATTGGACTACTTAAACAAAAAAGCTCATTTTTTGATGGGAGTGTACAAAGGCAAATCTTTGCATGTCATAGTACCAAAATTATTTATGAGTAACATAATGGATTTAACTTTATTATTTTATTTAGAATATAACTATTATTTAAGAATGGGTGGGGAAAATATTAGAATTCCTCAGTATATTAATCCTCTTTTTCTCTTGAATAAGAAACTAGGTAATCTTAGAAAACTTCAAAATTCCTTGTATATCAATCTGCCACTATCATCATTTAGATTCATTGAAACCCAACTTAATCATGTAATTTTTAATAACAGTCTAAAAAAGCAGTAGCCTATAACTTTTTCTTACAAAAAATGTTGATGGGTTGATAATAATTTTACGTCAAATACTCATCTAATTACAACCACTAATTTATAGTGGGTATGTAGTGCAGGTCGGTACAAACCATAGTGGTGTATGTATACTCCACCTGCATTCATACACACTCTATAAATTAAAACAGTTGCAATTCAATAATTTTTCTACAGTTATTATGGCTCATCAAAAATGTTTGCATGTAAAAGCCTAAAAAATTGCTATTACAAATTTCTGAAAAAATAAAATAAAATATACTTTGAACATAATCTGAGAAAGTAATAATTTTATTTTAAATACTTCAACAAAAGTGAATTATCATATATCCATGAATAAATATTTTTATTATTGTCAATTCTAACTTAACTCGTGATACGAGTATTATCAATACCTTTGATAAATGCAACTTCTATACAATTTGCACACATTGAATGTCCACATATGTTAAAATTAAACACCAAATTCGGATTTCTGAACTTGGAGCTCATACATCGAACACACGCCAATTCTTCCATTACAAATTATTTGTATTAATTAATTGCTAAGTATCTACAGAAATATGTATAAAGAATAATTATAAATATATATATATCATTTTAATATAATTTCACTTACCATGCAAAACCGCTTTAATAAACAATCATTATGACAATTATTCTTATAATGTTTTAATTTGATCAAATTATATTATATTTATTTATTATTTTATATCATATTTAATATTAAGCTTTAATAAATAACAATCATTATAAAAACTAATCTTATATTGTTTTAATTTGGTAAAATTATTGAACTAGGGTAACCATGCTGTATTTTTTAAAATTAATAAGACGTGTAAGTAATGCAAAAACCACGAGGTAAATTGAAAAATAAACGAATGAGTGATATGCCGTTCTATGCAGTGACAATACAACGTGCGTAATCAACTGATTAGATCGAGTAAATTTTCTCATGAATGTTTTTGAACATGACATTTCATGGAAGAAAAAAACTAATGTTTATATATATATATATAAATATACCACAGAGAGAATAATTAATAAACGTTGTCTATGAACAGTAATAACAAGCAACTAATAGAAAACTTTTCACCAAATGAAACAGAATATTGAGGATTTAAAAATATATTTTTGATTTAAAAAATATAACACGACAATTACAATTTGAAAACTCGTTAATGTATAAACTTTTATCATTGATGATGGATAACAAGGGTGGACTGGGAAAGCCAATGGTCATGAGGGCAGAAAGATTGTGACGACCTCGCGGAGTCGCCACAATCCTTGAACGGGCAGCACGATGTCGACATACTTTTTCGACACTATTATCTCCTCAATTCGTTTTTTGTGGAATTTAGCAATATGGTATTAGTTGGTTTAGTACATGGGAATTCCTTAATGCTTGGACATTTCTGTAATACAACAACCGGGGAACATGAATTGCTACAACCCTATTTGAATTTTAGCCCAGTACGAATAACTTTTTGTATATTTGGTAATATCGACCTAAAAGTTGATTTTATATATTCTAGAAAAAATATAAACGGAGTCCCATATGCTTCAAAAAAATGTTGCATTGAAAAAAAAAAAGCCTTTGAAAATGTTTTTAATTCTATGGAAAATCACAATTACCTATTAAATTAAGAATATAATTTACTATTAATTATTTTTATCACCAGTGATACATCTAATGGCCAAGAATTACGCAAAACAACGCTTATCAAAAATTAAATAGGTAAAATAAAAATTAAAAAAATATATTACCTAAATATAAATCTTTATTAAATGTAGCCGGCTCAATTTCGCTATTCATAACAGTTTTCATCGCTCCATAGACGGCGATTTTCCCTTGTCTCCGTGGCCAGACCATATCTGGTGGATACATAATTAAACTTAATTCATCAAAATTCTATGTAAAACAGTAGCAGATCCAGCAATCAAAAAGTAGAACCGCAGATTGTCCTGTAGTAAAACCAACAATTAAAATTTTGTTAATGATTGTGACAATTTTATCATTATTATTTAATAATAGTTCGATTATAAAACTCTATAATGTCTTAATAATAAAACTATGTAGACATTATTTCATAGAATTAATATTGGTAGATTAGTTCAGTTAAGTAGTATTCAGATTTTATGCTGATTTTTAAAATAAATCTATTAATAGTATACTCAGTGGCGGCTCGTGACTTGGACAGGACGTTCGCACCCCCTACTAAAATTAATTCATTGAATATACTAAATTCTACATTTTTATTAAATATGCAAATTTTTAAATAGTAAAATAGTTGTAAGACAATTGTCGTGTGCGAACATTAAAGTTATTTCTCTCAAATACCAGGAGTATATACGGGTACCTATGTACGCACGAGCAGTGTTTGGACGACGACAGCATCGTCCACACGGTAAAATATTACATTATTGCTAATTTGTGTAATTTATTTTAAGAATTGACTGCATGTACGTCCGTCGTTATCGATTACTATAATAGTATAATCGCTATTATTATTATTTTCATTTCTATTTTCTACTGCGACCTTTAAAATAATAATATGTGTATTGTATTTTATTTTATTATATTTAATTTGACAATTTTTTATAACTATAATTAGCGGTATTATATTTAAAGTCGCACCACCACCACCACCCACGAACCACAACTGAGTATACTTATATGTATTGACGTAATTTGTTTTTTTTTTTTTTATAAAAATACTTATAATTTTCTTTAAACTTTACACCTAAGATAATATGTTTGAATTATCATTATGAAATTTATTATCTCATCTATTTCTGAACTAGTATTGTTTATTGTAATAAACCAAAAATTAAATTAAAAATAAAAATAAAAATAAAGAAGAGTGAGTAGGTTATTAGGATGTTAAATATATATTTTTTTAATTTATATAATTTAATTGATGGTTTATAACGCAACAGATAGTTGGAGGTTCAAGAGCATAGGTTAAATTATACTTACCTTATGTCCTATGTCATACAATAATACTTCAATCAATCCAACGTTGATTGTTTTATAAATGCACTACGTATACGATTCATACTACACGTCATATAATCAATATAATTACTTGCGAAAACTATTCAAATTTTAAATAATACCACTTAATTACACAATATCTATGACTAAATTTATTTTTAAGAGATTCTGAACAATAAATTTTTATAGAAATATAATTTTGTAATTTGTCCTTATTTAATTTTTTTATCTTTGTGAAATAAATATTTTTTTAAGAGAATATATTTTATTGAGAGATCGACACCATTATTTTTTAAATATTCCTCTGGCCTGGCCAAAATAACATTCAAAAAATATTTATATCTGTGTAAAAATTTTATCAAGGCAGTATTGTGGTGGTCCAATGTGTCCCGGCGCTAGCGCCTTAAATGGATGCGGCACAATAATCACCAAGACAAAATTTAAACACTGCAAATATATTTGTAACTTTCTCTGCGTTGTCTGTTGGCGCGATGTTTTTAAAACAAAGACATTAATGACGGACTACCTACCCCCAATAAGAAAAGCTTGCATTAAATTTTGAATATTAATTAAAATTTAAAGTTTTGTTGGGTTTATAAAATAATATAAAAATGGTTTAATGTTTAAAATATCATTCCACAATAAGAAAAATAAGTAAATAAAACATTATTGTTCGATGAACAAATTAAAAGATTCACCAAAACAAAATTCACTTTAAAATTTCAGTAGGCGTTACTTAAAAATCTCTACAGTAAGTAGATTTTTTCCCATAATTAGCTGGTTATTTTGTATTTTAAATAAGGGAACCCTGTTTTGGTGATCTTGTATATTTATAGTATGTGACATACATATACAAACGATAACATCATAATTTATATTAATATTATAAGTGATAAGATATTATTACATTACAAACAAATTTCATTTATGCAAATTTAAATAACGAATTTTTAACATTTGTTTTGACTGCTAACTAAAGGTAATCCATCTTATACTAATTTTAGTCTTGTGGGTATGAAATTACTACTTAAATGATGGAATTTTATTAAAGTGATACAAATTTTGTTGATGAATATGAAATACAATATACAATTGATATTTTAGTTTTGTGTAATATCTCCTAATAAAATATTTGAGGAATACATTAACTTTTAATAATGAATTTTTTGAAAGATTATATTAACCTGTTTCTGAATATGTAGAAAGAATGTATAGGAACTGTATATTCCTCTATTTTATATCTTAATATATTTTATAACATTTTTAAGCCATAAATAATTTAAAAACATTTAATTTGTTAATATTAACAAAAATATTTCGAATTATACATTTTTTAAATTATAAATACTTATTCAGAATGTCTTTAAAAAAAAGATCAAATTCTCAATGTGCTTTTAGAAAGTCTTAAACCTCCCGTACATGGGTCCATATAACGATTCCTTTTAAACACAGTTCCCCTGTACAAAGATTTCACAGTATAATACTCAATAATTATACAAAAAATTAATTTTCACTTTTTAAGATGATTTACAACTTTATTTTACTTTAAAATAACATTCTGAGCCTGAAAAAATTAACATCATATTTTTTATTATTTGTATAAGCAATAAAAACAATTTATTTTTAAATTTAAAATTTTTCAAGATTTTAAAACAATCAGTTTTAAGCACTTACAAAAATAATTAATAGGTCGATAACAATTGTAGAACTACTAATTAATGAGTTATAGGCATTTTAATACATAGAGTCGGTACGTAATTTGTGTTATAAATATACACCCGTAGAGCTGTACCCTAAAAAAATTGTATTATAAATAATTTTAAAAATGTAGTTTAATGTAGTTTAACAATACATAAATTATTAAAAAACACTGTACGTTTTTGTGTACACAAACAGGTTCATTATTCGTAGTGTATAACTTCATCATTTTTTTTTCACACAGATGTATTTAACTATTTACTTATTCTTTATACATTCTTAATAATTAGAAGTTTAGTAAAAAAAAAAATTACGATGACGATGAAAAAGTTTTTATTTTCTATTTAATGCTTACTTATCATGATGTTGTAAATATTATTTATATAAAAATAATTAATAATATTTTAAATTTAATCTCTTATTAGAAAAAGGTCCAAATTCCAAATTCCAAATTTTATTTTTTTTTAGAGAAAATGTATTTTTGTGTACATTCAAATTATATTAAATAAGTTCTAAAATATTTTATTTTATTTTTTTGTTTTTAATTTTGAGCAATTTTTTTTTAATTTAATAAAGTTGTATTAATCAAAATTTTTAAACAACATTTTTTTTATAGAAATTAGAATACTCAAAATATTTTTTTTAGTTGTAATTATCGAAATATTTGTTTGGTAAAGACTATTTATTTTATTTATCATAATATATAGTATTTCAACTAAAATCTTTAAATAATTAAATAAATTGTGTTAGTTATACATACAAAATTCCATTAAAAATCCAAAATTAATATTTTAAAACAATTTTAAAATTAATTAATTATGACGAAAAAACTGACGTATTTTATAAAAAATAAATAAAACAAAATGGACAATTTTCATTAATACAACAAATTTACCAAATAGTGATTCTATGATTGAATTCCTTTAAATACTTTATTATTAACGCTATAGTTATTTTAAAATTATAGTAAAGTAATCATAAAAAAAAATTAAGACAAACTATATTGGCTATATTAGTCTTATATTCATAAAATAATGAGTTTTATATAATTTAAATAGATAAATAGATTTTTATATAATTATTATTGATTTATTTACTTATAAAATAAATTAAACGTTCTATAATTTGTGAACATTTTGACGTAATAAATTAAGATATAATTAAAATATTACTATGTAAGTTTCTCAAGTTCAAACTTCAATTACACGCGGATAATTTAAAACAAATTTCTCTGAATATACAGACAATAATAATAATAAAAATAAAAATAAATTTGGTGTTTACTATTTTTGGTGAGTCAATATTTTATCCTCCAGCAGCCATATTTAAACTGCGGGCCGTTTATTGCTGATCCCTTTTATAAAATATGTTCTTAAATAATTTTTTGGTTTATTTTATCTAGTAACTGATCTTGTTTAACTTATTATTATTTTATACTTAGAAATTTCATATACAAATAACAAAAAAACTTACATTTTACATTTCATTGTTATTCAAAAATTTCCCCTAGTAATCTTTTTTTTTGAATAGTACTTAAAATTTCATATATTTTTTATTCGTGATGTTTTTTTAACTATTGAAATAAACAATTTTTTTAATTTATTTTATAACGCTCAAATTAAAATCTTGCGCCGTAAAAGAACAATATTCTTGGATATTGTTATAATATTTGTATTGTTCAGTATTTCAACTGTGTAAAAACGGTTTACATTCAGTTTTAGAATTATACTAAAATAACGCTAGAAATCAGTTTCTGTAACTCATTGAAATTTTTAATGAATGGTATAAATTATATATGCATGTCATATCAGTGCTTTGGACATGGAACAACGTTAAGAATATGCAAACCCACCAAATTATTTAAATAGGTTTTAAAAAGTAGTTTTAACACTGTTGATTAATTTAAGGAAAGTGTTTTGAATACTGTTATTATTGTACAATTTGTATTCATTTCTTGTATTTGGTCCATATATGAACAAAAAAATATTATAATCTAAGGTTAATACATATATTGAATTTAAACTTCTTAAATACTTATATAAGTGTTGATGGAGAGATTTAAAAAATAAATTAATTTTTACGACTTTGGATTTTTTGCTTATTATTCTTTTTTGATATTTTTGTGAAAAAAAAATGTTAACATCTACATTACTGAGTGGCAATCGCGCTTGAGCGCGTATTTATGTAACATCAATGGTGGGCATTAACTAGTTAAAAAGTTAATATTTTTCCAATTTAACTAGTTAATTATTTTTCTAATAAACTTTTCAATTTAACTAATTTTATTTTTCATTGAAATAACTTAGCTTTTTCAATTAATTAGTTAAAATAACAGTTAAGCTAATTTAAAAATTTCATAAAAAATGTATGTGATTTTTTTTCATAAATAGGTTTAAAGATAAAACAGTGCAACCAACACCAAAATATACAAAATGAATAAACAATTTTTTTTTTATCATTAATATTTTCTTCCTAATCAGTTGAAAAACGATTCTTAGATTTTCCTTGCATCATCAACTAATAAAAATTGATTTTAGAAGATTTTAGCCAAAAAATTAATTTTAAATGAAACAAATTTTTTTTAAACTAATTAAGTTAAAAAAATATTTCAACATATCTTTTAACTTAGCTAGTTAAATTTATAATTTGATAACTTTTAACTGTTGATTTATCGACATTGTTCATACTTGATTTAAATTAACTTGAGTTAATTATTTCGACTATCTTGGCCATCCTTGTGTAACATGTATGGCATATAACATATAACTTATAATATATATTTGGCGGCTATATAAAAATAATTACATGTTTTTATTTATTAAATTAGTGGAACACTAATTGTAACTTTATAATGTTACAATTTATAAATAATGTTTAAAATTAGGGCTTTAAATACATATTCACATTTCCCATTAGCTTATTGGTATTTCATTTTATTGATTTTGCGTATTTTTAATACGTCTATTATAGTACCAACTTTATTTATTGTACACAACGCTTAAGAATTGAATTGATACAGAAAGTATTTAGCCAATTAGTCAGCCCGCAGGAGAGAACTAAATTTTTAATTTTTTTAGTGAATTCCATTTTTGACTATTTTCTGGAAAGGCCGACATTTTAACTTATTACAAGAAAAAACTTAAACAATTTCCTTCTAAGTGAATAAAAATCAATTTACTGGTGATTTCCTAACTAAATAACTCACAGTTGATGTACATAGATGAATGAAATCGACGTATCTTTCCATTATTATAAAGATATTAATTTAAATGACGGCGCTGTTTAAATTTTTCATGTTTTTTTATGTCGTCCAATATAATGTTCTAAGACTCTCATACATATATAATATTGTTTATTAACACAATAGCGATTATTTTAAAACACGGCTTTAAATCTTACTTGAATCAAATGTTTTATTATCGCCATTTCATCAAAGCTTTGACTAAATTTATCTAGAAATATTTTACAATATTATTAATTTATAAAAAAATAGTAACATATTTATATAGATAAACGCCAGGTTATTTCCTTTATCTTTGTTAAAACCATATAGGTTTATACATGTAAACATTTTTCTATACACGTAAAATAATTTAATCATAATAAAAAACGATAGCACAGTGGGGTCGCGGAACAGTATGGACGTGGGATAGTTGGGACAAATATAGATGATAATCTGACAGTGATTAAAATTCACCATCATAAAAAACGCTTCGATGGAAAACTGTTGGTAGTCTTTAATTCTAAGAAAGTGGTGCATAATTACAAATGCAACATCAACTCCTATTTCCTTAATTATATCCTAATTAGTAGTTCATAGATTTAAAAAAATATTTGATGAATAATATTTTTATAGCAATTAAATATAATAGGAAATTAATATTTAATAATGTAATATTGTAATTTTTACGGAAAAATAATAAAAAATGATAAAGTAGTATATTTTGTTACTTTTATGACAAACATATATAAATATTAAAGGGCAACATATTACAAAACATTTTTTTTTACTTATGAATAAATACATTGGTCTACAAAAAACTTTCATCGGAATCAAAAATATACATTTCTTAATCAACTTTTCGCACTGTGTTCAAATCTGAAATCAAATATTTTCTATTTCTTTTAAGTTTTGATATTATATTTAATTATTAAAAAATAAGTATTTAAATATAAAAAAATGATTAAAAACAAAATAAAATTGTTTTAAAATTATTAATAATTTTGATACTCGTTGTAGTTATTAAATCTAAATGAGATAAAAATCAAAAGAGTTAAACAATTTTTCTAACTCAAACACCTTTGTAAGGTATTTTAAAATAAAATAAAATACAAAACCCAAAATTATAAATAAGAATAGAATTTTTTCACCATAAAGACAAGTCAAGAGGTCAAATTTTTTTATAGTCAAAATAAAGAATATTTTATAAGATTTTATTTAAGATATATATAAAAGTGTTAGTATTTCCGGAATATTTTCAAAAATTAAATTGTAAAAGTACTAGTTTCTATACGCATTTTTTAAATTTAGGTCACTCTGTATAAAGGGAAATGGTCCAATTTAAAAAAAGTATGTTGAATGAAAGAAGTATATATAAATAGTATTTATCATAAAAAAAATACACTGATCCATACAATTTTCAACAAAATTATAAAAATATAAAATTAAAAAGTAGCACAGTGGGGTCGCGGTACAGTGTAGATGTGGCATAGTAATAGTGGACAAGTATAGATGATATCTGACAGTGATTAAAATCGCTGTCATAAGAAACGCTTCGATACAAATCTGTAGAAAATGTTTAATTTTAAGAAATTGATGAATTATTCCAAAAACAAAATGAACTCCTATTTTTTGTTCTACTTCGACTGCCATTTGCATATTGGAGATAGATCGTCTGAACAAATTATATTTTTCATAATGTAAGCTTTAATTTACATATGTTTAAGGACGTAGTATTTCCGGAACATTTTCTTCAAAAGTTGACTTTAGTAAAATAGTTGTTATTTTGAATCGCTCCTTGTGAGTAAGTTAATTGTCAGATTTTCGTTCATTTTTCAATAAGCTATAGAAATTTTCAGAAATAAAATGTCGAATATTACTGATTTTAAAAATCGTTTTTTTCGGGGGGACTTTTATTAGTTACGGGAAATGAGAGAAAAATTTTTAATTTTTGAGGGTAATTTCTTCAACTAGCATGTCTAAGTAAAGATATCAAGCATCTATAAAAAAATAATTATATTGATATGATTATTTTTGAAAAAGTTACGGCAATTTTTAGTAATAAAAATTGAAAAAATTTCGAAAATTAGCAAATTGTAAATTTGTAATTTTTTTGGAGGTTTCCCCCATTTACGGGGAACGAGAGAAATTTTTTCAATTTTTGAGGGTAATGTCTTCGACTAGATACGATTTGTGATCTTTTAACGTATCGTTGAAAGAAATCGGTTGGGTGAGAGCTAAGAAAAAGTAATAACAGACACAAAAAAAACCACATCATAGTAAAATTATTACCTTCTCAGATTCGCTTCGAAGCTAAAATTGATTATCAGATTAAAATCATTAGTTGGAAAATCTAATCAATTAACAAAAGTTTCATCTTTCTATTACTATTATTGTTACCTTCTAGTCTATAGCTCAAAGCTAGATATAAATACTTTACAAACCCCATTCATCTAGTTGGAACAGTAAATTATTTCTCTTAAGAAAAAATAATGTAAGTTTATTTGTACAAATGCACGTTTCTATATTTATAAACCACAATGTGTGCTAAGAAGTAAAATATATTAAACAAAATATTAAAGTTTTTAAATTGACACTCAAGCCATAATTTGATTAATTTCAAGTAGCTATTTCACTTAAACACATCTATTGTATCGAACAATTTTAAGGAGAGTCGTCATGGTGGTATGTTATAAATAATATGTATAATAGTTTAATATAAAATATATTATTGAAAAAAGGTTAATGTTAAGCATAAAATTCTATATTTACGTATATAGACAAATAAGTATTATGTTACATGATTAATATGTCGTTATTGCGATTTTAAACATTTATTTGAAAAAAAATTGTATTGAAATCGTTCATACATAAGCAAAATACTCATAAACGACATATTGTAATTTTTGAAGAATTGAATTTTAATTTTATAAATTATAAATATATATATATATATATAATGTATAATTTATAATTTATGTATAATTTGATAATATTAAAAAAATGGGACTGATCTGTCAAATATAATAGTATTTATAGACCTTTTAATGATTTTTATAGTCATTTTTCAGGAAAGAGAAGACTATCTTTCTGTAATTATATATATAAATTAAAAATTATTATTTTAATTTTTGATTTTAACAAATATTTTTTCTCATAATATCGTTTCTGAATTTTTTTTCAATATAATAAACAAAAAATTAGTATTTTTGAATTTCTCGCAAAATTATCAATCTATTGGTAGCAATTTGCTAATTATAAAATTTACCCAATAATAATTACAGTAAGTTAATTTTTTTTCTTCTGAAAAATGCATAAATACACTCAAATTTAAAGTTCTATAAATACTGTTAAATTTAACGGATAATCTCCAAATTGTATATACTATTTTTTATTATTATCAAGTTTTGTAAAATATTTAAAAGAAATATCGTTTTTTAACCTTTTTTAATGATTTAGTTATAATAATATGTTATTTTAGACATTATTTTTAATTTTGTGAGTTATTATTTGATGAATGATTTAGTTAATTGTTGTCCTTATAACTTCTACTTTCCTGTTACATGTGTATGAAGAAAGTTAATGTGCAATTTTTTAATTTTTGTAAAACTACCATTTGCTTACCTTAATCTTTCATTAAATAAATGGCTAACTAAAGAAAGGGTATTAATATATATATATATATATAATCATTTTGTATTACAAAGTCGTAAATATGTAATTTACTGTAAAATTAAGTGAAATCCGAGCACTCAAAAATCAAATATAGTGTTTAAAAATAAATTTACTACACATAATATACAGTTTTCCTGGGAAATCAGCAAAAATGAAACTGTTACCTTTAAAGTAATTTAATGGCGTTTAAATATGTAATTAAATTGAGTCAGTGAATGTATGGGATTTTTTTTTTCGGGACCTTTGTTTTGTCCATCAGTTCATTTTGAAAACTAATCTTATGGTCAATAGGAGACAGAGCCTATGTGGCTTCACTGGCTACATCAGTTACTTGAGTTCCTATAATGGTTTAATATTATTATATTGAAATTCAGCTGCGAAGCTGATATCTCATATTAAGATAAACTTAAATAACTTTGGAGAGGCTAATTTCACTTTTGGGGGTTTAGTCCCTAAAGCTTAGCGTTTTTTCAACGATTATTCAAAAAAATAATTTTAAACATTATAATTGGCTAAAAACTAGATTCTTGTAAACAAATATATTATTTATACTGGGTACGTCAGTTTCAATAAAAATGTAGCAAATTAATTCCATAAAAAAATTTAAAATAGTATGCTAAGTTGTTTTTCAAATTATGACCTGATGAAGTTCAAAAGATTTATTTATATCAATAAAATGTTGATAATTTATACTTGAAATAGCATTTAATATTTTATACTATTTGCATTATATTTTATAACAATTTGTTATAAATTATATTTTTTGACTTATTGTTGTTTTTTATATAACCGATACACTGTTATATAATCAAATTATAAAAGGCCTAATATGTTTTTTATAAAATATGTATTATATTTCTGAACAATATATTACTATTATAATAATAATACAATGTAATATTATTATGATAATTACTTACATATTATTTTATATAACTATTATGTAATATACAAAACTGAATTAATCCATGGGTTTATTTGATCCTCAACAAATACTTAATTATGAAAAAGGTACAAGTTTCAACATCTTCCGTGCCAAAAAAAGTTCATTTATCAAAGTAGTAGTGATATTTACATTGTGGTTAAGTTTGCTCTTTCTTTAGTTGATAAACTTTAATCCTACATTTTTGAGCTACATTGCTCACATAAAAGCATGAAACAGATTTTGCGGCAATTCTCAATGAATCCCATAAAATGATCTGATCCTTTTTTCTTTTTTTCTGAATTCATTCCTTCTCATCTTTCTTATAATTTCGAAATAAATGATGAGCCAATGTTTGGCCAAAAACTGGCTAAATGTTAAACAATATGAATAAAAGGGAAGCGTTGCTCATGAAGGAAGGATTGAAATTTATGAATTAGAGAATGAGTAAGTTTGATTATAAATGGATATCAAAGTAGATATCGCTACTTTGATAGGCAGACTCCATTTGGGATGGAAAAAGATGTAACTTGGCCCTTTTTCACAGTTAGCTAATTTTTTTTATAGTGTTTTAAGTTACTAGAGCTTAATATATATTTCAAATTTTAAAAACTTATCCTAAGATGAAATAAAGCAGAGATACAAAAGTTACAAAATCGAAGCGATTGTTTAAAAAATGTTGCAAAATTCTTTAAATTCAAAAAGTTATTTAATAAAATAAGAATGATTTTTGTTTTCAATTATCTAATTTTATTTTTTCAGAATTCCTTTGTTTCATTAATCACTATTATAGCAATATTAGTAGTTCTTATTAAAGGTAATTTTTTTTACTAATTAGTTTTAATATTTTCGCGTTATAATTGATAAACGAGTAAAGTTCGTGAATTAATAGACAATACAAATTTTATTATCACTACATTTTTAAATCACAATAATAAAAAAAAAAACGATTTTATGCAAATTTATTAAATTTCATCGTTTATGTATTTATTATTTTACAGTTTTTAATTTAAATTTTCACTTAAATATTGAGTGCTTGTTTTATTATTTGCTTAAATGAAAATAAAATTTTTTTTATTTTGACGGTCGATTTCTCATAATAGAATTGTCATGTGATAGAATTTCTTTTTAATATTGTAGTAGGATTTAAAAGTTTTAATTTGATATAGGTAAGAAGTTTATAGACTTTCCAGAAAATTTTCAAAATACGAGTACTTCCTTTTAAACTCTTTTCTGAACTTAGATTTTTGATTTTTCTTCAAAAGTATACCAAAAAAAAAAAAAGCTAACTGTCTTTCATATTCTTCATTTAAATCTCATTTAGGTAAGTGTTAATAATAAATAATTATAGCAGTTATGAAATTTAGAAATAATATTTGAAAAATGCTTTTTTTACAATAAAGTAATTTTTCTAATTTCTGATTTTTTTCAATTTTTGATTATGGTAGGTTTAAAATTAGTTTATTTAGGCCTATTGGTCATTAAAATTTTCCCAGCCTTTATGGCATTGAACAAAAAAATAAAACTCTTTTATTTTTTTTGAAATAAAAAATTTCAAGTAGTTTAGTTAAAATTGAGTTAAAAACGTGAAATTTTGGGAATAATTTTTTTTTTAAGAAAAATAAAAATTCTGGAAGTAAGGTTTTTGAATAGAATTCATAATGCATTTCATAACGGTACTGTATGTGCTTATTATGTTTAATGTACCAAATAGATTAAGATAATTAAACTCTATTATTTTTTATTAATGATACCACGTAAGTAAGTTTTACATATTTATTATAAAATTTCAGGAGATTCTGAAAACTGTTATGTTTGTGAAATAGCAATAAGTGATGTGTATGTAATTCCTTGCAGACACGACCTTTGTTCTTCTTGTGCCAATAGATTAAAAAATGGAAATTCATCGTGTAAATGCGAAAAAGGAATTAAAACTATAGGTAGATACTAAATACATAATTTTGAAATCTAAAAATGTAATTATTTTGTTATTAAGTCGGTATAATTCATGGATAAATAAATTAAAAGTAAATATATATTTATACAAAGTGTAAATAATTTTTTTGAACTCTCAGATGTAAAATATCTGAGAATAATTGTTTATTAATATTCGATAGTACTTAATTAAAAACGATAATTCTTCAAACTTTAAATATTTATTTTAATGTATAGATGAGATTATGTTTATTGAATTGTAAACATATAAAAAATAAAACATTTGTTTTATTGTCAAAAAATTTATTTTATTAAAATATTTTAAGTTTTCAAATTATTTTTGAAAAATCTTAAAGACAGATTTTAAACAAAATGTTTACATTTCGAAGATTGTGTGTAACTGGAAAAAAATCATGGGTAATGTACATAAGAATTTTAATGCGACAAAAATCATGTGTATGCACATTCTTAGTTTATGGATAAAAATATTAATAATAATAATTTGAAAAATTTTATTTTTAAATAAAAAATATCAAAAATTATAATTGATTATTTCAAAAAATGTTATTAATGTAACATATTACAATATCATTTTTAAAAGGTATAAAAGATAGAGACCAAGTATATTTTAATGATTAATACAAAACTATACGTAATTTACGAAAACTTAAAACAAACTATTGTTATTTTATAATAGGTTAATTACTCTGTCAAATCTGTACATTAAAGCTAAACTATCCGCTGTTTGGATAGTTTACCTATGATGTACAGAAATATATTATTCATTGATTTATAAATTTTTTTAGTGCAAAGGACGCCAGAATCAATTTTAAAGAAAAGTAAGTGCTGAAAGTTGTAAAATTTTAATGGAATCTTGAATTAAATCAATTCGTTCAATTTCTGAATTCATGTTAAAAATAATTTTTATGAATTTTTCAACTATAGATGATGTTGAAGAAGATTGTGGGATTTGTATGACAAAAGAAGCTGATGTAATGATTGTACCATGTGGACATTTTTTTTGTGGACATTGTATTGTTGAATTGCATAATAGACATTTTCAATGTCCAGTATGTAGAAGTGATATGGAATCATATAAGGGACTAGGTTGGGTATATATCAAATATTTAGCTCTATTTAACTGTTTAAATCATTTTCAAATTACTAGACTAAGATTTATTATCTACCAGTCATTTTCTTAAATAGATTATTTTCTAAATTTTTTTATCATATCCCACTCAATTACTTACAGAATAAAAATAATTTAAACATATTTTTTTTTTGGTTAGCTTGAGTTTTTAGTTTTATTATTCTTGAATTATTAGCTATATAATAATTTTTAAGTTCATCCCTTATGCTTTGTAAGGGTATCAACTTTATTTGTATAATGGGAACATATATTTTGAATTTACCAAAATGTTCCATTTTAGTTTCGATGCGAAGCTGAGAAGGTATTGGTTTTACTAAGATGTGTTTTTTTTTTTTTTTGTGTCTGTTACCACTTTTTCTCAGCTCTCACCGAACCGATTTCTTTCAATGATACGTCAAAAGATCACAAATTGTATCTAGTCGAAGACATTACCCTCAAAAATTGAAAAAAATTCCCTCGTTCCCCATAAATGGGGGAAACCTCCAAAAAAATTACGAATTTAAAAATCGCTAATTTTCGAAATTTTTTCAATTTTTTTTACTTAAATGTGCCGTAACTTTTTCAAAAATAAACATATCAATATAATTATTTTTTTATAGATGCTTGATGTCTTTACTTATCATTTGGTATATTTTTTTTGTAAATCTGACACTTAACCTGCCAGTGAAAATGTCTACCGAATGCTATTATTGTGTGAAAATTCTCGATTTTATGTTTTACATTTTTAACTTTATAATGCTATGACATATTGAAAAGTGTATGGATCAACATTATTTTTTTATGAGAAATAATATTTTTTAATAATCCCTTTTTCATTCGACATACTTTATCTTAATTAGGATATTAATAATGAACTAGCAGATCATGTAGCTTTTGGAATAATCCACCAATTTTTTAAAATTAAACACTATCTAAAGATTTGCATCGAAGCGTTTTTTTTGATAGTGATTTTAATCACTGTCAGATATCATTATACTTGATCCATCTATACCACGTCACTACTGTGCGCGGCCCCCCTGTGCTGGGTTTTTTTAATTTAATAGTAAAATAATGGTATTAGAATTTTTAATATAAATTTTTTTATAACGTCTCTATCATAGTCACGGAGTGTTTATTGTGAATTATGACTATCAATATGCTTTTATGCTTTCTGTATTGCCAGTTGGTGTATTTATTAACTCACAATAATGTTCCTTATTACCATTGATAATAAGTGCAGGGTATCTGCGGATACAAACGTTGTAAAAAATCTATTAGTTACCAGAAATCTCTATTTATATTTGTATAAATATTAAGTATGTAATATATAAATTCATTTGAAATCCCTCACGTATTAAAAATGTATATTAATTCTTATATTTATATTCTTAATTATTATAAAATTTGAAACTTAAAAATTTTATATCTAATAAACGAATGAAGGTATATTAAAAATTCAAATGTCATTTACTATTAAATAAAAAACTCAAACATTTTATTATATTCAAAATATGTGTTTCCATTATAAAAACAAAATTGACACTCTTACAAGGCGTATGGGATGAACTTAAAAAATATTACACTAGGTATGTAATACTTAATTCAAGAATAATATGTAGCTAAAGGCAACCAAAAATAAAATGTTTAAATTATTATTATTCTGTAAGTAATTGAGTGGGTTATGGCTAAAAAATCACTCTGCATATGTTTCTATTTAAAAAACTGAAAATGATCGGAACAAAATTGTATTAAAAATTATAAAACTTCTTAGTATACTATTAAATTCCAAAAAGAAAAAATAATATTATATTTTTAAATATATTGCGTCAGCCATAATTAAACAATTACTTCATATTTTAGATGCTGAACAAACACAACAACTTTTAATATTTAATAATGGTATATTTATTCATATAAATTTTAAATACTTGATAAATAAATTATAGTTAATAATAAAATTATTCGCTTTAATTAATATTTACCAGATGAAAATAATTTTGATGATACATTTGATCGATCATCTGTAACTAATGATGAAGTTTTAAGTAAGTTAAATTTCATTTGCTGCTTTTTTTAATTTAAGTAAAAATAAAAAAAAATGTTTTAAAATTTTGAAACATTTTATAACCAGACACTAAATCTGATTAAAAAATGTATAAAAACAAAATGTTGAAATTATAGTTAATAAGTGTAGCATGTTTTGAACGAGTCATAAACTAGTAAAAAAATTGAATAGTTTATGTGTCAATAGATCCACATTTGAAACATGACCCCAGCTGACATTTCGTTTTAGTATACGGTGTTGCTATATATTCAAAAGACCCAAAATTATAACATCAAGTCTTGTTATGTTTGGATTATGTTTGGATTATGTTGATTCTTTATATTTATATTGACTAGACGCATATTATTTCTGAATCTAGCAGTTCGAGATTCATTAATTGTAAAAAATTTAACAATGTTTACTAACAAGACATTTACATTAGTATGTACAATATATCTAGTAGGTATAAAAATAAATCACATGAAAATATTTCAATGATTTGTTGTTTAGATTCTGAGAAGCTAAGTTTAAGTTCACGGCAAATACGTGATTTATCCTGAGAATAGTCAATAATTGATTGCATTTTTTTTATTGATGATTAATATTTTCATAAGTTCAATGTTGAACATAGTGAAGGTTGCTCAGAATTGTTGTTCGAAGTTTTGCCAGTTAGAATATGTACGGCTTCAGTATCAGTTATAAGCTTCTCCTTCAAATTTCACACTTATAAATTCTATTTTGGACAACTCTGTTCAATTATACAGTTCAGCAACTAATGCTTATTAGACATTAAATAAATATTGGTTTTTTGCCGAATTACATAAATTAAATAACTTAATTATAAATAAAAGTGTTAAATAAACGAACAAATAATTAGAAACAAATTAGAACAATTATAGTAAATAGACAACCACATTGTTCCATAATTAGACATAAGAGTAACACACATACACTGACATTCGTAGTCAGAAAACCCTAATCGTAGGCAACGCAACCCTACCACACGTATATGATAACTTTAATAATACTAAAATAGTTAATTGGAAAAAAAACCCGGATAGTGGGAACGCGGCATTTGGCTGTTCAGCTATTTTACAACTTTCACATTGTATTTTATAAATGTCCGGTTTGCCTCCTTTTACACTATTTTAAGGATTACCTAATAAATCTCTTAAATTATTAGTTTTAGATGACATTACAGTAAAACATAAAATCTTAAAAATTCAATCTAGTCTACTTAAGATGCCCGTATAATATAAAATGGGTGATTGTAATTACTTTTTATTCACCCATGGAAAAAATTAGGAAAAAAAATACTTCACTACCTGTCGGGAATCGATCCCGTATACCGTATGCGTCAAAAAATCACGTATTCTCGATTCGACCGTATACTTTATTGTCTATGAAAGAAAAAAGTCCCTATTTAAGCTAATTAAAAATGTTCAAAGTCAATTTTCTCGACTTAGGGTGGCATTGGCAAAAAATTCAAAATACCTCTCATTTTATATTTAATATAGATTAAATGTATATAAATTTTATGAAAATCGGCGAACACATTATCATCCCCTCCCCTTGATAGTATAAGAGAGGTAATATAAATTTTTATAAAATAAGAAAATTTTAATTAATTGGGATCTTGGCCAACTGAAATATTCATTATTAAACTGGCGACATGAGATAATATAACTTGGTGATAACATCATTAGGTGATAAGGTCACTAGAGTTATTTAAATATGTTCTTTCAGGTTGGGGGTCAGTATATATTTAGCGTTGATAATGATAACATTGTTCCCGTAATACATATACGCGATTTTTTTTTTAGTAATTCTGTTGTGGTTTTTGAGTTAAATACATAAATATTTTTTAGTTTTAAATAAAAACATTATAAATTAAAATGTATACGATATACATGCATTTTTTTAAAAAAGGTGAATAAGTTCTTTAACTACATATTATTTCGAAAAAAAGATTAACTGAAAACGAATTTAGAAATTTTAACATGAACAAAATGTCACTTTGTTCAAATATATTTAAGGTCGAAAAATACTCTAAGGTTAATTTTATACCAAAAATCATTGAACAGATCGATTCATTAGAAATTTAGCAATATTTTGACACTAATATCTCATTTTTTCAAAAACTAAAAACTGTTACTAACACACTATTGCGTAAAAAGACATTCTTTTTTATTTATTAAGTCTATATATTTATTGTTTTAGTAAACAAAATTCCTATTCTAAATTAGAATTCTTTATATGACATTTTTACTGTAAATGAGCGTAAACCATAAAAAATAAACATGCTTTTTTTTTAGAATCAACATTTTTAACAATAAAAACTGTCAATAATTTATAAAACAAAGTTATAATTCATTAAAAAAAAGTTTTTGTAAACGATGTTCAGATAAAAAAAACCCAGCACAGGGGGGTCGCTGCACAATGGTGGAATGGCATAATTGGGTCAAGTATAAAGATTTCTGACAGTCATTGAAATCACTATTATAAAAAACGCTTCGATGCAAATTTTTAGATAGTGTTTAATTTTAAAAAATTGGTGTATTATTCCAAAAACTACATGATCTGCTAGTTCCTTATTAATATCCTGATTAAGATAAAGTATGTTGAATGAAAAAAAGAATATTAAAAAATATTATTTCTCATAAAAAAAATTGTGTTGATCCATACACTTTTCAATAAATTATAGCATAATAAAGTTAAAAATGTAAAATACAAAATCGAAAATTTTCACACAAAAATAGCATTCGGTAGCCATTTTCACCGTGAAAACAAAATAAAGTCAGAAATTTTTTTTTTGCATAATAAAGTACATTACATTAGATTTAATTTAAGATATATATAAAAGTGTCAGACCTTCCGGAACATTTTCAAAAGTTAAGTTGAAAAAGTTAATTTTTTGTGAAAAAGTTGTCATTTTAAATCCCCCCCTGTGGGCAGGTTAAGTATCAGATTTACAAAAAAAATATACCAAATGATAAGTAAAAACATCAAGCATATATAAAAAATAATTATATTAATATGATTATTTTTGAAAAAGTTACGGCAATTTTTAGTAATAAAAATTGAAAAAATTTCGAAAATTAGCGAATTTTAAATTTGTAATTTTTTTGGAGGTTTCCCTCATTTACGGGGAACGAGAGAAATTTTTTCAATTTTTGAGGGTAATGTCTTCGACTAGATACGATTTGTGATCTTTTGACGTATCGTTGAAAGAAATCCGTTCGGTGAGAGCTGAGAAAAAGTGGTAACAGACACAAAAAAAAAACACATCTTAGTAAAACCAATAATAGTATATTTAGTAATTTTAATAGTAATTAGTTAAATTGATAAAAAATTTGACGAGTATCAAATACTTTATAATAATAAACTAGATTAAAAATGGCTTGAATGACTAAGTATAAAATTCCCAAAGAACAATTAAAATAAAGATTGCATAATAAGTTATAAAAAATGACTTCTATGTTTGGTAAAATTTTTATTTACAGTATTTCTTCTTCTCTCTCTCACCAAAATCAATTTTTAGGCACGTTATTTTAAATTTATAAACATATGTAACTTGAAACCTATAAACTAAATAATTTCAAACAAAAGTATGCGAATTAAAGACTTTTTACTATAAAAAATGACAATTTATTAATTTTTTAATTTCAACAAAAATTGTTTTTTTTTTATTTACTTTATGCAGGTAAAATATTGCCTATAATTTAACTATAGAATGTTTGTAAGATGGTTCTACTAAAAACCTTATATTATATGAATTATTTATTTTACTTAAAATTTTTAGTTAAAAAAAATCCTAGGTAATCATAATCTTCTGGATTTATGAATTTTTATAAATTACTGAATTTAAAATTTAATTTAACTATTATTTGTATACATATTAAAGGCAGTATGACAAGAGTGTATTTAGAACAATTAAGATTAAGATCCAGTATGTAAAATGTAATACATATTGAACTAATTCAATATTTGATTGATATTCTAAATATAAATTAGAAATTAATGAAATTCTTTGTGACTTATTTAGAATGTTAGTTAAATATTATTTGGATAATTATTAAATTTTAGTTTTTAAAATTTAATCAGTAATATTTATTATTAAGATTAATAAATTTGAAAAATGTTTAGGTTCGGAGAGTAATGATAGTTATTCTATTGAACAGATAACAGAATTATTCCAAGATGCTGGTATGTAGAAGTTCATAAATAAAATAATTTTATTATTCGTCATCAAAAAGTTTTCTTGTTATTTTAAAAATAGGTCGATTATTTTTAATTTTAATTAGTAGGTCACTCGTTCAAAGACAAATTTATTATATATATGTATCATATTATATAAACCATATTTATTTCGAAGATTAAAATAGAGTATAATTAAAATACACAATTTTGTTTTTAAAATAATTTTATTTATCTTATTTATAATTACTTCATGAGTTCATGTAATAAATCCTTTCGGAAAGGTATTTACTGATAATTTGAGAAGACATCAAAGTGTGTACAAATTTATTTTATTATTATTTTAATAATTCACATAATTATTATTAGTCCGGATTTATATGCATTTATAAATAATATTTAAACCATTTTAATAATACTTAAGTTTGTGCAAATTTATTGTTGACATAGACAGTAGCATAAATATATTTTTCGTTTTAGATGGGAATAAAACCTCCTACCTCCCCTAACATTAATCCCAGTTAAAACATATTACTAAGCTTTCAAGCCTATTAATAAAAAATTTGTTCTGGCTATGATAAGTTGCAATATCACAACAAAATTAAAAAATTCATATAAATATTATATTATAAACTATTATGATTTATAATAGTTCATTAAAAATAATATATTTTAACTAAATATATTATTTTTAATTATAATCTAGAATATATTTAAATTTACATCTTATAAATTTAGAATCTAAAAGTTAAAAATAGTTTTATTTAATGTTTATTATTACAAAACTAATTCGTGTGAACATTTAATAGTTTTAGAAATTCATGGCAGTGAATCCGTTGAATTTTCATCGTCGGGGAGCAATGGTAAGTTTATTTTCAATAAATAAATAATTAATACTCTAAAATTTTTTTGTATTAAAATTATAGAATTTTCTTCGAGTGATAATGAAATTATACAAGGTATGTTATGTTTTAACTAATAGTCAATCTTATCTTCTTTTTCTATTTCTTCCTCGCCTTAATCCCAACTACTTGGGGTCGGCCACGCTTATCCTAAAATTCCACTTGACACGATCTCTCACATCATCTACGCTCACATCAGCTATCCTCATATCGCATTCAATAGCATCCCTTCATCTTTTTTTTGGTCTTCCTCTACCTCTTCTTCCTTCAACATTAATTTCTATAACTGTTCTTACGGCTTCCGATTCTTCTCTCCTCGTAACATGACCAAACCATCTAAGTCTATTTTCTCTCATTTTATCCACGATTGATGTTACACCTATACTCCCTTTTATATGCTTGTTCGTGAAAAAAAAATTGAAATAAAAAGTATAGACTTTTTTTCTCCGATAAATCTTGATAATTATGATAAATAAATCAAACAAGCATATCCAATAGATACACAACTTTGAATTTATTAATTTCTTATTGGAAAAATTTAAATAATTTGAGTAAAAATAAAAAATAATATGCTTATTAAAAAATGTTTATTATTTTAAAACTAATTCGTGTGAACATTTAATAGCTTTAGAAATGAATAATAATGAAACCGTTGATTTCTCATCGCCGGAGAGCACTGGTAAGTTTATTTTCAATAAATAAATAGTTGGGTCCAGTATAGATTAAAATCACTATCATAAAAAAACGCTTCGATGCAAATCTGTAGATAGTGTTTAATTTTAAAAAATTGGTGGATTATTCCTAAAGCAACATGATCTCCTACTTCCTTATTTATATCCTAATTACAATATTCACGATTTAAAAAGTCAAATTAAATTTAAATAATTTGAGTAAAAATAAAAAATATATCAATTAATAGTCATAGATTATTTTAAACAAAATTATTTTACTTTAAAATTGACATTGTATAAATAATACCTTTATTTTCAATATTTAGTATCATTTATAAGAACGTTGTCGACATATTCATCTTCAGTGTCTTATATATCTTATTTTATCTTTAGACTTTCATAGAAATTGTGAAATTCTTCATTCATAAAAAATTGTTTAAAATGAAGTAAATGTTTATATTTTGCATTCTTAGTTTCCTCCGATAAAGTGGCTTTAAGGTATTGGTATTAATGTTTTCTCTTGTGGTTTTAAGGTGTGTTTTTCTTCCTCGTTTATTCTGTTTTAGAATTATCACAGTGCAAACTGGTATTCCACAATAGGTATCTTTATGTAAATTTTTTTATCTAATTATTTTTTGATTTCACTATGTGCGAGTTATGCTGACATAGAGGCCGCGTTTATTAGTTTTTTGCGAGAAAAGCAATCTCAGCCTTCAAAAAAATCGCATAAACTGCATGTAGCCATGTTACAATAGTAACCGAAACTGATATTACATTTTGCTTCAAAAACGTTACGAAATTATTTATATGAAATTTTGTAATCAGGATCTTTGTTTCAAACATTGAGTGCAATTTTTTTTAAGTTTAGTCTCAGGTAAATATGTTTTTTTTTTAGTTTTTTAATGAATAGTGAAATTTGTCTTTCAATGGTTTTAAGAAATTGATTTTATTGTTAAGAATTTCATATGAAAACATTTTTGAGCAATTTTCATGTATTCCTCTTTTATTAATAGGAATATTTCCCTTAGTTAATAACGATTCCCGGAGAGTTTGTACACGTTTTTCTGAAATACCATACAAGGACAAATGTTTTTATGGAAAATTGAGTATCTTCTATCTTTCCGTGACAAAAAACATCTACGCGGTAGCATAACTAGCTAAATTGTACTAAGCATTGTTATCATGAAGTCGATTGCGCTTCCTCATAACAGGTAATAGTATAATAAATCACAAAGGTAATTAGTTTGGCCATTGTAGTTCCCTAGATTGTCGAACTCTTTTTTGATACGTTTTTTCTCTTCAACAGAAATATTTTCGAAGTAACGTTGTTATCGTTTACACATGCAGTCGGGTTCTAATTTATGTGTAGTAAAGAGCAATTTTTGTAAAACATTCTGTTCTCTAACTATTTTAAGTATTTTCTTAAATGTCCATTGCTCACTGTTAAAGCCATCACTAGAAGTAAAACTACTTATTGCACTGTTCATTTAAAAAAATACTAAATAACACAATACCAATAGTTGATTGTAGCAACAACAGCAAAAATAATGACGACAACGTAATATATTAACTAATTTATAACTAATAATATTAATTTTATCGTAATATTGTAATTTAGTGGAAACACGTTACCAGAAATTACGTGGTATAATTATTAATAGCGCAATAAGCAATAATACATCATAAAATTACAGTATTCTTTTTTCCATTGTAGTAAGTACAACAGAGAGAAAAGTAAAAATAATTTTTTCGGAGTTATACTTCAACCTGTTTTCCACACAACCGCATGGACTTGAATCTTTCTTCGCCAGTATACTTAATCTTTTCCCTTTAATAACAACTGACTGGAAGCTTTTTTCACTGATTCGATTTCAACATTCAATATTACTCCTAATGTTCTGTCAAATTAATCAATAAAATCAAAATCGAAAAAAAGGGGCTACTATCTTTTATCCCCTGTATTCTTCATTTTGTTATATACCTAACTGAATGTACTATAAAATTTAAAGTGTAAAATAATCCCAGTAAATCTTAATAACCGGATCATTGTTAATTGGTATTGTTTATGTAGTGATTTTAAATCTTTCATTCTTATCCCCTAGCGATAATTTTGTTTTTAAAGAAAGGGTACTAGGCAATATAGTAGATAAGCTTCTAATCAAATCGGTTATATAGACTTCTGAAATAGAGAATAGTATTAATCAATGATAACTTTTTTTGCTTTTAAAACAACTAAAAGTTCAAAAATCACAATTCTATTGAGGGTGGAGTAACAAAAAAGAAAATTTTTTCTGATAATTTCATAATTCAGGTATAAGAATGTGAACATTATATTTTTTACAGTAAATATTTAAAATTATGAATGATTTTCCATACTAGTATTTTACGATTTATAAAAAATAAGGATGTGATAATGTCAATTAATAAAATATCTGTAATTTTAAGGGCTTAATCCAGTTGAATTGTTTTGAAAACAATTTCCTTTAAAACTTTCAATTATTTCTAAATAATGCATATCTACTGACATGATCAAGCATATAATAACTTTTGTGTTTAAAATTTATTAGATTTTTTTCCTTATGAAAACAAGTAAGTAATTGTAATAAATTTATAGTTTAAGAATATAAATAAATTATATTTAATTTTATAAATGTTTAATATTTATATTTGTTAATGTTTTAAAGAAGAATTATAATTTTTTTAAATTATTTCAGTACATCACCAGGACGATAATATAAAAGTCAACATTTAATTAAAATATTCAACTCTGCTATATATATTTAAAAAATTATTGTGATAAATATATTCTAATACATCAACATATATTTTAATTTATTTTCTTGTATTTCAATTTCTATATAATAGTAATACATTTTGACTTATAACTACATAAGACATTTTTTATATTAATATTGTTAATACCAAAAATAGTATTAAAATTGAAATATCATATTATTACGATTACCTCGGCACCAATAGTCAATTGTATACCTATTACATTTTAGTATTGGCCCTTTATAACGCTATAATAATTAAGTGGTTACTGTATTTTTGTTAAAATAATTGTTATGTAATACTTTTCGTGCAAAACACTTATCATGCTGAACGTAGCGAGGAACTCCTACCGGATTTATCTACTTGTATAGATGGCCCAAAATGCTTAACACGCTGAAGACGCATTAGGGTCTCATCTAGACGAAGTCTAGTATATTATTATATAAAAAAAAACACGAAAACGTGTTTTAATAAACGTTATTATTATTTTTATGATATCATACTTTTCACTTTCATAATAAAATAATGTGTACTAAAATATGCTATCTTAAGTGTATATTGGCTAATAACATTTTTTAACCTTTTTTAGACCGTTTTATTTTCATAACGAAACAATTAGATAATTTAGGCTAAATAAATCAACGAAAGAAAAAATTTTTAATTACCTTAAAGAAGATTTTATTGTCCCTGTGGATGGGGGATAAGAATACTTCCACGGCCCCTCTGGCAGTCGTAAGAGGCGATTAATGAGGTTGCGACAGGTCGACAGCGGGCGTAAAATGTTGTTAAAAAGTATGAGGAGTCCTGAACAAAACTTAGGCGGATACGAATGCGATATGAGGACGGTTGATGTGAGCGTAGATGATGTGGGAGATTGTGAAAAGTGGAAGTTTAGGATAAGGGTGGCCTACCCCAAGTAGTTGGGTTTAAGGCGAGGAAGAAAAAGATAAGATTGGCTATTAGTTAAAACATAACATACCTTGTATTAATTCAATATCATCCAAAGATAATTCTATAATATTAATACAAAATAATTTAAGAATATTAATTATTTATTTATTGAAAATAAACTTACTAGTGCGCCCCGACGATGACAATTCAACGGATTCACAGCTATGAATTTCTAAAACTATTAAATGTTCACATGAATTAGTTTTGTAATAATAAACATTAAATAAAACTATTTTTAACTTTTATTTAAGGAAACCTAGTAGACTTAAAATTTAACTCATTGTATATTGTAGATATTGTTTTTTTAATAATAATAATAAAAACCAGCACAGAAGGAGTGCAGTATAGTTGGGACAAACATAGTTGATATCTGACAGAGATTAACATTATAAAAAAAAACAGTACCATATGTATCTGTTAAATTTTTTATTGAAATAGCACAATTATAAGTCAAATAACTCATAAAAAAAAACGTCTGGATGTTTTTTTATCCTATAATTGTCTTAAATATCTTTAGTATAATAGAGTAACCTTGAGTAAAAATTGGCAATATTTTTTTCTATTGCATATAACTTATATAGTAATTACCAACATTTTTTTTTTTTTTACTTCATAAACTACTGAAAAATACAAATCCAGTATTATTATAGTATGATTAGGCCTCTATTTAATAATTAATGAACTGAAACAAAATGAAAAATAAAAGCGTACTTATTTTAACCTATTAGTGGTGTAAGGTTATAGTTAGTATTTAGTAAATTTTAATATGCAAATAAATAAATAACTGTTTAACCAGTTATTTTTTACTCGAAATAATAAAATAATCACAAAGTTTAATGAATTTATTATTTTTACAATTTAGAACCATAATATTTCATTATATTGAATGAAAAAAAACAGTTAGCCACTTTGGAATTTTTTTTCTCAAACAAATAAATTAGATATATTTAATAAATTAGACAATAAAAAAAATATTGCAGTAAAAATTACTAGATTAATTATTCAAATTTATAAAAATAATGTTTAAACATCATTTATTTCAAAATAAGTATAAAATGTATTTTTTAGAGCTAGACTTTTATCCAAAATCAAATATTTTTCTTTGTTGTCCATGCCTAAAATTGTATGTGAAAATTAAAATTTGTTATTACTCAATTTTCAGTGATAAAGATATAGAATATCCAAAAAAAAACAATCAAGTTTTATAAAATGATTTAATAAAATTAAAATATTACTGTTAAAGAGCAAAATATAACATGAAAGTATGTCAAATTGTTATAATCTATTAAACGTATTCAATTTTAGTTCAATAATTTTGTAGTGGATAAAAAACATCTAAAAATGGTTAATCAATCATTGGGACTCATAATTATAAAATGAAATTATTTATTTCAATATCAGACTCTTACACTGGAAAGTCTATTACCCTAGTTCATTGTATAGGTTAAAATAAGCTAAACGTTCTGGGCAATTTTTAAAAATCGAGTTAAAAAAAAATGTTATAATATTTTATAACTCATCGACAAGCTGAGAGTTAGACTAGTTCAGTTTAAAGTATGGGTCAAAAAGCCGTTGTATCCTTTTAAAAATTAATCTTTAGTAAATGTACGAGCTATTCAAATGACGCTACTAATTGAAAAATTAATTTATTATTATAATTTTCTCATAGTAAAAATATATAACAGGCGATTTTAGCTTACTAAAATTTAATTACTTTTGAATATTTAAATTACCAAATGTTCAAACCTTAATGCCATAATGAATATATATGGATTAAAATTTACAAAAGCACGACGATTATATATTTTTATTTAATTTTAATTTAACTACATGTGCTAATGCTTAAAATTTTATTTTCAATAGTAAAAAAGTCAGCGTATTGTTTGCTAAGCCTTGTGGGCACTATTTTTGTCAATGTTTTACAACGTCTATTAAGTTATAAATTGAAAGTCTTATTTACGGGTAAATAAATATTCAGGATATATGATTATTTGTTTGACTCTTATTTGATTTAATAGAATCTGCTGAACCAGACTAGCTTTTTACAGCTTACAGTAGTACTGTTTACCAACATCATGATAAGTAGTAAAACTACACAACTTCTAGTTAAGTATGATTTTTTTATTTTGTGGGTTCTAGGATAAATGACTTGATAGGTCAAAGACTTTCTATAAAATTTTGTATTTAATTTGTGAAATCTACGACTAAAACACATGGCGTATTTTAAGTACCATAATTAATTATGACCGAGAGTCTATTATAGATGATAGGAGTGTTGGGAGTTCTTTCACATCAACTAAAAACTCATATATCGATAAAATTAACACCCTGGTGTGGGTATATCGACGTCTGACCATTAGGAACTAATGTATAGTATAGTATAGGAAAATACTGTTTTATTTAAATATTTGAATATTTCAGTAATTTTTATTACATAAAAATGTAATGATTGAATTTTTTATCAAATAAATTTCTTTTTTTCGAAAATTTAAACAAAATCATTAATATTTTGTTTTACACATTTTTACTTCTAATTATATCAAAAATTGTTTTATTAAAAATGATCATTTAGATTTCATGGTCATTTTCGTTATTAATTAATGGCTTCATATTTTGAATAAAAAAATTTTAAGTATGAGGAATTATGAATTTATTATAATTAGCTTAGCGAAGCTGGAAATTATTAATTTTACTATCGTGTTTTTTTTTATTTCTCACCATTACATTTTCTCAGCTTTCACCAAACTGGATTCTATCAACAATATGTTAAAAGATTATATCACTTAAAAACTTTGAGAATTGAAAACATTTAATTTACACCCTGTAAATGGAGAAAATCCCCCAAAAAATTAAAATCGGTAAATTTCGACAATTTTTATACTTTTTTTTCTTAAAACTGTAGTCATTTTTAAAAATGAACAAATCAAAATATTTTTATTTTAAATAATTATCTTAGGTGCAAATGGCTACCATAGATAAAAACATGCTATTTTTGTTTAAAAATTTTCGAATTCATATTTTTCAACTTTAAATTGCTATAATTTTTGAAAAATATATGGATCTACACAATTTCTTTTCTTTATAAATATCTCTTTTAACTAACAACTTTTTTTTTATTAATTGGGACCATTTCCTCTTATATAGGGAGGGTTCAAAAATTGAAATATTCGAGTATAAAATAAAATGTTTTCATCTTAGCTTTTTGTAAAATGAACGTACTAAAAAATATTTTTTTTATCTAAATACCTTACGTATTTCCATTCATTTGATATAATTTTTTGAAAATGTAACCCTATGCCTGCCCTTCTGTGGGCAAGTTGGGTTCAAAACAGAAACTTTGGTATGAAAAGTTTACTTTTTAACTTTACTTTTAAAAATGTGTATAAAAATGTAATTAGATTACCAGTTATGCTATGTGAATTTGAATACATTTTTATATTCTGTTTTTCAATACTATTTTTTAAAAACTTAAAATTTTTTTATAACTCCTTATAATCAAAGCTACAATAACACATTATATAATTTTATAATGTAATACTATTTAATTAAACATTATATTTGAATTTTTAATCATGAAAATTTAAACTATTCAAAAGAAAAAAGTAATGAACAAATAATAACACTTTTAAAAAATGAACTCGTTTAAGAACTATCAAGGTCAGGCCAAATGCTTATTTATAAAAAAACTCAATAAATTACCTATTATTGAGCTAGAAAATATTTTTAAACAATATAGTATGATTAAATAATACTATTATTAATACATGGTAGATTATTAATATAAGATTTCAATGCATATTTTTTATTCAATTAAAAAATTAACAATAAGAATTTCAAAAGTTTTTTTGAAAATCTATCAATATAATGCTGGTGAATAAATTGCTTAGTAGCAATAAGACATTATTTAGTTTTTTAAACATTATTAAAACTTAAGTTTTGAATTTGTTTATGTATAAAACGTTTAATATATAGTTTAAATATCATATTCTCAATTTTTCGTGTTATATATTACAAATTTTAGTTGTAATAACCTTATATTTACTGTTCATAAAAGTAGAACGCTATGTTAAAAATAACCAAGATAAAATATCAGATAAATATTGATCTGACGATGATTCTTCTCAAGATAGTAGTTGTTCATCCTGTCTAGCTACAAGAGTAGTTCATTTGATAAAAGTTCAAGTTTTCCTAAAAATATAACTTCATTGTCTACTGTAGGCACATTAAGTCTCACTTCTAAAATATATAATGATAGACATTTTCAAATAAAACAAAAAATGAGTAATGCGAGCAACGAACAGGAAGATTCGGACAAAAAAGAGTAATAATACGGAAATAGTATTAATAATGTAATAATAATTTAGACCGAAATAATAAATAATACTTTAATTTTAGTAAATGGAAATATTTACACATATTTGTATATAATATACGTAAACATAATATATTATATAGGTGTTCAGTAAATAAGGGAAACGGGTTTTTATTGTTATTATTACAATTGACATATTTCCTTACTTCCTGAACACTTTGTATATATAAAGAAATGAAAATTTTCATAGCTTTTAAATGTTTGGCCACAAACGTAATAAATACGTATAAATATTAAAATGATAGCTTAATTTAACAAGGGATAGAGTTTGTACCCAAACTTATATTATTATAATTAAAAAAATGATTTAATTTTTCAACATAAAGAGTGTTAAATACAGATTTGGATGAAGATTCGTTTGGTTTGGCGGCACTGGCGGTATGATGACTAGCGAGGGCACTCTGTCATTTTTGATCATTATAATAAACAACCATATCACTCGTTGATATACTAATCGAGTTGGCTAAAAAATAATATTTGTATTAGTACAACAAGTAATATTGTTGTACATAATATGAACGAATGAAGGAATGAGGATAGTGGACTGTATGAGGTACAATGATTAAATGTGTAACGCCCGTTCAAATGTACAAGGAATTATTAAACAAAAAACAATTGTTGTAGTAAAAATAATGTGGATGAGGGGGGGGAATTATTACTATATTCCCAAATGGCACAAAGAATGCGATTAAAAGTAAACAAATTGCTATAGGCAATGTCAAAAGAATACTCATTAGTTTGGCTACGTGAAAAGCTTCAAGTTGGAACCGATTGAGGTGAAGGATAAATGGATGGACAGGACATTGTATGAAAGGCCGTGTAAAATGTAATGGCAGAGCTGAAGAATGTCGTCGAGAACCAAAATGTAATGGAGAAAGGTGTGTTTGTAGGACAGCAAAGCTACACACACATCAAATATTTGCTGAAGGGGGAACAGGATCGTGATATATCCGCGGCATTATGCGTACAAAAGAAAAAATATAAAATGTAGCAAAAAATCTACGAGAGAATATGTATACTGATGCGTGACGGAATATTAACTCGAACAGCCATAGAGACAGTCAAGACGTCCGAGTGCCTCGCCGATTATCAGACTGTCCAAACCAACTCAACAGAGTATAATTGATCGTAGTGTTTGTGGTGTTTATTTTTTGTGTGTATTCAGTGAATATATTCAAGAGTTTATTGGCTAGTTATACTATCTTAGATTTATAAAAGTTAAATTGAATTAAGTAGAGAGAATTAACATTATAATAGGTAAAACAAAGTTTATATTTTTTAACTTGAATTGTTTAGATGTTCTGAATTAAATTATCAGCTGACGATGACTTATCACTTCGGGTTGATCCGTTGCCCTTAGATCCTGAACGTGAATTAAGTGTCCAAAAAAGTGTTCCTGAAGATCAAATTAATAATAATAATAATAATAATAATAGCCAGTAATAGTTTCATAAAATTGCAGTTTTTAACGATTTATACAACCGTTAATATAACTCAACTTTTAGATTTAATTAAAAACCGTTATTTTTTTTATCTATTTAAAAAATGTTGTTCTAATTACACTAATCAAATTATTGTACTTAAAATATGGTATTTTTAAAATATAAAATACATTTTAAGGTATAAATTATTTTTAAATACAAAATCAAATCAATGTAAAGAAAAAAATCAAAATATATTTTTTAGAGCAATTTATTATAGAGCATTATTTCGTTTTAAGACGTTTTAATAAAGTATTTTTTATTTTAAGGCAAATATGTGATAAATACAATAGTAAACACTTATGTTAATATTATTATTTATTCAGAATTAGTGTATTGTGATTATGTATCACAATTAATAAAAGACAAACAGCTAAAAATAGAAGTTGATAACCACTGCACAATAAAAAATAAAAATATTCAATGAATAATCGAGAAAAAACTAGTGTAATTTAAGTATTAATCGGGTAATATACCCCTATAACTTAACAAATAGTGTGATACATGAAATCAGATTGAACCATTTTTTCAGCGTCAAAAAACCTATAAGATTGCGTTGTGTTATTTAATTTTAAAATTAAACATAATTTTCTATAAAAATATTGTTATGATATCAAAATGTAGATATTTTCAGTTTGTTTTTTATTGTTAATACCAATTATTTCAGTTTCTAGTTATGGTTGGAACATATAAAATACACTTTGAAAATTCTTATAAAATTCACTGTTAGCCCTAAAATATGTTCAATTATAGGTTTAAGCAAAAACGGTTTTATAGGAAAAAGTTCAGCTTCGATTTTTGGAAAATGATTGTCAGACCAATTTTAAAGACCATTTGTAGTAACTTATATTTGACATATAAATTTAAAATTTCGCACATATTTTTTTTTATATAACCCCTTAATGTTTTAAACGGGATTTTTGATTTTTTAATGAGCAATTAAGTAATTATATGATTGTCATTAATTAACAGTTATCTGAAAAAACAAAAATCAATCTAAACATTTTAAGGCCAGATCGGAATCAGCAACAAAATTCCATTCAGAAACTACTCTTATATTGTTTGGCACAAAAGTGTTGTGTGCAGTGTAATAATATAAAAATCAATCAGCGATGTAGATACGAGTATACTACGAAATGGAAAGAAGCTAACGGATGTTATTTCAAATAGGAAATTAGACTTTAAGGAGTTTGGAGTATACCGAGAATATCTTTTGAATTCTTCAGTATCCAATGAAAATATTCCAAATAGAGAAGATTTTGAAAGTTTATACCGAAATCCTATTACGATAGCAGGAATCGCCATATAATTGTACAAAAAAAAAACAAATTTTATCGAACTATTCCCACTGATGATGAAAAACAATGTAATTAAATTGTAGTAGTCGTGTCACAGTTTAATAAACGACGTTAATAAAGTCGTTTTTCCAGAAGAACTTTCGCATATAAATAACTTAAACGATCACAATTTTAATTACAATCGATGTTCTCGTTGTATTTTGCCTGTTTATTTCATTGAAAAATGTTCTTTACTTATTCAATTTTTTCATAAAATAAACAAAACGTAATCGCATATTCTTGTAGAGATATTCGAGTGATTCATTCTACATAAATTATTGGTTATATTATATTTAAAATAACACGCATAATTCACCAATCGCCTAAAAAATACTAGTTTTATAAAAAAATACATGACCGAGTTCATCGTGATTTAATTTGGAATTAATTGTTACGTCACAATTGACGATAATGAAAATCTACTCGTGTAAATGTGACTACAGAAGTAATTTGAAATTTGCGACGTTTCAGTACTTAAACAGAGTAAAATAATTAAATTCGCCTAAAATTAAGGTTTTAATAGCCGAGTAGTTGCAACACAGATTTAGCTCGATAATGTAGTACACCTAAATGAAAATTCAACAATCAGCAGGTGGTTGCGAAATAACAACGCGCAAAAAAAAATTGAAAGAGTACGCTAATCTTTCATCGTTATGATAGAAATTCACGAGTGTCTAGATATAACTCGGTAGTTTTTTATTAGGTCTCGGAGACAAAAGGACCGCTAGGTCGGATTAGGTTTTCACGTACATGTTAAAACACTATGCGTGGACAGGGGTAGAAAGCGCGACTGAGGGTGCGAGTCTCGGCGATAGTACCAAAAGGGCACATTTGATGCTGCGGCGTTTCCACAGTTGTTGTCTACCGGCGGCAGTCGATCTTTAGCGTTCGTCGCGCCCCGTCGTAGAGGTCGTCGCTGGTCGTTCATCGTGTCGCGTTCATATCGTTGTGTGCAAAAATAATTTAATAAAAATTAAACAAACATTTGTGTTTCACTCGATTTATCCATTGACAATAAATTGGTTGGTTTCATTACATTCGGTGAGTGTTGTGTCGACTGTTTTCACGTGTTAAATAAACGCGAATAAATCGCAAAACATTAAAGTGAGTAAATTTGTATTAGTTTTTAAAAATTATTTTTAGTACGAATTTTCATTGCTCGTGGAACGGTTTTTTTACTGTCTCCTCCAGTGGAATTAATGATAATAATGCATTTGATATAATTTGTCCGTAGAGTTCATAAAATAAGAACGAGTGTACTGACATGTTAATGACCGTTTCCAAAAGGGCAAAAAAATATAATTAAATACACTTGAAATCATCTACGTAAAAAAACAAATATAACACGCTCTTATTAAAAATAATAATATTAATTTGCCACTTAATTTTATCCGCATTACAAAACAAATCATAGTCATAAACGACATATCAATGTTTATTTTCTTAGGCCAGTTGGTTGGCTGTATTACATTATTCATTGAAAGTACTTCAGGACTTAAATAAATAAGAAAAGTGATTACAGTCGAATCGCAGCGTATTGAAGTTAAGTTGAATTAAAACTTTATTATTTATGGTGAAAATCTTATATCGAACTGAAAGGCACCCACAAAGAATTGTATTAGCGCAATAAAGAATTTGTATAGGTTTTACGTACAAAGCCAACTGGCAAACTTCAAATTAATAAATTTTGATTATGCCAATGTTTTTTAATTAAAACTATGTTGGCTATTATTTCTGTAATGACTTTTGAAATAATATAAAAAATATTATACCTTTTGTTGCCTGTACAAATTCAGTCGTTAAAGTTGAATTTTATTGAAAGCTTTTTACATACACCTACGCCGTTTTACTACTTTACAGTGTTTTGTGCGAAAGATACTATAAAGTTTAAACATTATTCATAATTCAAATAATTACACACACAAATATATTCAGATGAAATAAATTGTATTTTCGACACAAATATTTCTTACTTATAAACTAACTACTTCAATTTCAATTAATTAAGAAATAAAATATTTTATAAAAATACAAATAAATCAAAATTTTCTTATTAAACTATAACAGATTTAAATTTGCGTGAAAAATCGTGATTAGAGCGTAACAATACATGCAAATTAAAACTATCCTTATAAATGACCATACAAGTTTGGAATTTAAAATTAAGCTTTTCGATTGTAAAGGGTTAACCGCACTGAAAAAAAATTGAAAAAAATTATTTTGGCCTTGCTTATATCGAAATTTTAGGTATATATTATTATTCACATATTTATATGAATATTTTCTACATCATACATTTTTTTTTTTGTAATTGTATAATATTTAAAATAAAAAATAATGTTTAGACTTGATATTTCTTGACAAACATTGCCATACCTGAACAACAGTCACATTAGTGACTTTTATTATAGATATCTTCAACTCGAGATAAAAGTTACAATGTTTAAGTCGAGTTTGAATATGTAAAACATTGTTAATCTAAAACTTATACGATAGGGGTTAGTGTATTTACGAGGATAAATTTAGCGCTTACACGTCTTAATTGCCTCACATTTAGTAGAGCAGGTTTTTCGTGAGGTCCATTGGGATGGTTTGTTCTTGACTTAATAATAATTACTGTTTTCTTAGGAAGTATTTGTATAATTGTCAAATAAACCCGTATTTCAACTTTTCACTGTCGACTTTTAATTAAAAGCGATGAAGAAAAATGTATGAGTTGTACAGCAGTATAACTAAGTTTTTGCAATGTTTAGTCATTAATTAAGTTTTTGCTCTTTTACCATTTTGACTGGTGCGATAAGTCAAAAGGAGCACTAAGGTCAATCGAACGTATTATATTTTTATTAGAGAACTGGCTGATAATAATTATCGGCAAGCTAAATATGACTATTATATTTTAGACTGGACTCGTGTAAATTAAAATTAATATTTGTTTAAAAATATAGAAATTAGGTAATTTTGTAAAAGTGTTTGCATTAAATGATTCATAAAAAAAAAAATTGTATTATAAAACGCGCTGTGCAATAATTATTGACAAGCTTCTTTCTACAATGAATTCAAATCGGTTAATAGTATCGTGTCATAGGATCATAAAATCATTTATCGTCTGTGAATTTCTTTCCTTTTACTTGAAAAATAATTCCTTTAAAATCGATTGGGTATTATTTTATTTGTTTTACAAAATAAACATCAACAAAAAGAAAATAACGGGCGGCCGCCGTGTTTAAACGACTCAATTTGATTAATGGAAAGGCGATAAGGCGCTTTGGATTCATTGCAAAATATACACTCGGGTACAACGAAGTTAAAATCACATCACGCAAAGCTTACAATAGCCAACAGCTTTGCTTGTATTTAATTTTTACTACAGTGTTTTATGCGTTTTCGAGCTTGTTCCAACCGACCGACTAAAATCTTGATTAACTCAGGTTTTTGCATTTATGGATTTTCCAGTAAAAAAATCGCCTGAATAAACTGTCTTATCTGCTACAATGACTTTTTCTAATATATTAAATGCGCAACATGCTGAAAAAAAATAATAACGTCCGGTACGAGGCCTTTTATGCAAAATTTGTTCCTTTTTCGGTTAGCTGATTGCTTCCATAATTATCGTGTTCTAACCGCTCGAACCAAAACAACGGATATAAATAAAAAAAATATTTGCCACCCGGTAAAAATTTCCATCACAATAACTAGCCCCTTTTGCTTTTTGCCCCACAATCCGTTCGGAGAGGCGCACACACTGTGATACCAACTCTACTTGGGGTGTATACATACTGTTTTAATATCACACCACGTTTTGTTGCGATGCGAAGCTGTTTAATTTATAATGTACATTGATGTGCAAAAGGATCGTCAAGCGATATATGTCTGTGTTTTTTTTTTTTAACTAATTGCCATTTATATTCCACATTATCCCCAGACGTTATTCGACGAAATTTATACTTAATTAAATTATTTAAGACACCTACCCCTACGATTTAATTGATAGTCATTATAAATCTGATAGGACACCCTATCAGATGTTCGTTGTTACTGAACACAATGACTGCCAACCTCATCATAATGCACGTATCGAATTGGTACAGGAGGAGCAGCCATTAGTCAAGGCCGGTTGACAAACGGACCCTATACAATAACAACAATATAATACACATAAAGTCGGCGGCGGTTTTCAGCACAATCAAACCTGATCATCGCCGGCGCAAAGTCCGTTTGTTCGATAACGTGCCATTAATTCGACCACAGAGATTAGCTGTTCCAGCATCCCTCCCGTCAGCGTTTTTCTCTAATCCTACGCGACTACGTGTTCTGTGTTGTATACAGTTTTGTAGCAGTTACCTTTTTAAGCTAGTGCCAAACCGGACGTCCAGCATTGGATACAAAGTGTGAAATTCATAAATTGTTGATGCATTTTTTATTACACATTTACTATCGCGAATTAAAAATGTACAATTTATTTTACGCATTATTAATTTCAATTGAATATACATTTAATTCTTACCAAACTCTATCAACGGTTTCCCTCCGTGTTTATTAGACAAATAAACATTTTTTTTTTAATTTTATATATAATAAATTATTATACAGAATGATTCTTTCTACACTGCCTATTATTATAAAATAATAATTTTTTGAACATTTTTATTTTGGCCATTATCAGTTACATATGTATATCCATTTATCTGTTATAAAATATTAAAAGAATTACTCTTTATATATTTATTATTAATAAGTATAATAAGTCAGATAGAAAACCACCCAATGAATTCTATTTGTAAATATACAAGTTAATGCCTGTACCCCGAAAAATTTTTTTAAGCGTAACGTTCATAATTTACACCGTAAAATTGTATTGCATAATTTATAAATTATTTTAACATTTTTATTCAGTAAATATATATATTTCAATTGTAAAGAATTAATTAAAAACATTAAGAGTCATGTTTATAACTAATATTATTTTACTATGTATTATTAAAAAATACTAATCATAACATTAAAATACTTTTAAGGAGATTAAAACGACTGTAATAACTTTGATTAATATACTTTTTTTTTAAATTATACTCTAACATAACATCTATGATAAGTATATAGATTAACAAGATATATTTTCTAACATAAATTATAGACTTCAAAGTTTAAACGTAGAAGTACATCCATTTTTAATAATAAAAGTATTTGAACAAATTTTAAACGTTTTGCATTGAGATTTTACAGTGCGAAATTTCCATGCGGCTTTGCTACGATGGCCAGAGCTGAATGACACATTCACTTTATTTATTCTATTTTAATACTTTTTTAATAAATCTATTCCAATTATAAATAAACACCGTTTAGTAAATATAATATGATTTAATCTCAATATATATATATATAAATATTGTACTTTAATAAGAAAATTAGTTTATTCTGGGGCAGCTTTCTGAAGTTCGGTACGCTTTGATATCCGATAAATAGATCAAACATTAATTATGCGCAGTAAAACAAGCAAGATTCTCTGATTATACAGACACAATAATGTAAATAAAAGATAAAACGATAACTTTGGTGTTACATTTTTTTCGCTTATATTTTAGGACAGCGAGCGCTCTATTGCTATAGACAAACGAACATTTTCTGATAATCATTGAATCAAAAACTGTATAGGAATTTTATTTATGAGCATTATTTATTTTTTTTTTTAATGCGAATCCTAAGAAAACTGTTATAAATATACGTTTTGACTTGACAACTTGAATTAAAATAAATTTCATCATAAACGAAGGATGACTGATAAACAAAAAAGTTATTACGTACAAACAAATGGACTACTCATCACGCCGATGTTTTTTTAGGAAATCTAAACATATTGTATCTACAGAATCTAGAAATATCGTAACCCTAACGATTTCCACGAATAGTTCAGCAATGCTTTGCCATTATTCAACTTGAATTTTCGTTACTTTCGTCAAAGGGTTCTGTAAGCTTTGATTGCTGTAGATGCTCAGCCCTAATAAATTCTTGAAATTAGTCGTTACGGTCCTTAGCAGTGATCTTTTGCCTATAGGTTCATCTAATCACTTTCCTCATTTCTGCTCGCGAAATACATCTACCGCTCT